CACCAGATGAGTCAGTTTGGGAACTAGTTCAAAATTAAACCTGGCGACTTCGTTGCGGTCCAGATCAAAAGAGGAAAAGTTGATTCTTTTGATGATCATGATGATGATACTTGAAGATCACTCATCAGTTTGTAAAAAATGCCAGGAAAACTTGGGCTCACCTGTGGTTTCTGAAAAGACAGGAGAAAGGGGACTTTTTATACTATTCGAGAACCGTCCGTGGAAAATTCAGACATTTTGTGAATACATGAGAATGCCATACGCAAACTTCGAGATCATCAACTTCTGAACTTTAGATCGACGCCATGTTGAATTTTGAGCACGAGTCAAGGGCTCCAAAAGAATTGTTGTTGAAAATATTGGCTAATTTGATTGGTTAATGTTTAACATTTCCCGTATTAATCCGCGCGCAACAAAAAGTGTCAGTACACACAAGGGAGCGTTTTCAAGTTCGCTCAATTTGCCCCGGGAGCTTGCTCCCAAATATTTAACTGCTTAAATATCGTGGAGCATTTTGCGGGGTGGAAATTCTGCTCCCGACTTGCTCCCGAGGATGTAGTATACCCATGAAATCGTTGATTTACGCGGAGGAGCTTTGCTCCCGGAGCGTGCCCTTGGAGCCCTGGAGCATGCCGTGGGTGTGTGGGTAGTGGGTCGTGCGTCGTGGGTCGTGGGTCGTGCGTCGTGCGTCACGTCGCGTGTGATAGCTCATGCCTCTTAGAGAAGAATCTTCCTTTACACGACCCTTCGCATTCATGAAAAAGTTTTTCCGATGAAATTCAGTAAGGCAAATTTTTCAGCGAAATATGTCCTCCCCGGTCATCTCCCATTTCCCCCCATGCTCCTCGCACACTCTGAGTTCTTAATAGGGAGTTTAAGATACGGAGACTACGGACTACGAACTACGGCTAGACGAGCGTTGTCCTTTGTTCGTAACACTGGGTTGAGTCGTGCAAATATAGAACGTTAAGATCGCACTACACACAGTAGACTACGAGAGAAGAGGTGGAGAGGGAAACAACACGCAAAGATTTCCTTGTTTTCATCACAGTTCACAAAAATGCAAGTCAGTTTTGCATGTGATCTTATCTTTAGAACAATGAACAAATTCTTCCATACTTGAAGGAAGCAATTACGTCGGGTGAAATTGGTAAACAAAGTTTTGGTTACACAGGTTTTATTTTTTCGCCCATGAATACTTATGTCAAATATTAAAGAAATAGAAAGAAATAGTAATAGCTCATTTATTAGATTTAGAAGATGGACTTCTCCGACTACCGATCTGATGTAGTTTGAAGTATTGAAATGCCGAGTTTCGATTGTCTCGAAGATGTTTACATCATTTTCATTCAGCAAATGGCGCGATACAAAAACTCGCAGAAATAAATGTTACACAAGTAGAAAGACACACTAATCAGTTCGAACAAACATTAAAACTACTCAATTGCGAAGAGAAAGTAAATTACCTGCATGATTTTTCTTCTCCTAGGCCGTCAATCTGAATTCTGCGTATAAACAGCTAAGCTTATTTAAATATGAGTTTAGCTAGATAAAAATGTAGTCACGACAGTGGATTAAAAGCGTAAATCTCAGCAGAAATTAGACACAACTTACATATTTCGCTTCCCTCTCGCTTAAAGCAAGTGTATTGAAAACTTTTTTACGAAAAGACGAGATTCTTGAATTACCGAGACGGCAAAAAAATGAACAGTCACGTGGTTTTGATCATGCGCAGTAACATATTTATCCGTAGCCGTAGTCCGTAGTCGCCGTATCTTAAACTCCCTAATGAAATGCACATGCGTCCAAGAATACCCTTTCCGGTTAAAAGGAAATTCTAAATAATCGCGGCTTTTATGAATGAAACTTTTTTTTTTAATTGAAATAATGTCACATTCTATATCAAATTAGGCACTAAGTTTAGGGAAGACTATTCCATAAAAGAAATTACGACCAATCATCACCATTTAATTAAACACTTCGATTCTACCTTTGAGCCTAAACACATCCCTGGTAGCAGCCTGTGTAAAGAAGTTTTAACTTGAGCTGATCACAGTTGTTCGTAGGCCTGGTACATATACTTCCAGGGAAAATCACAGGTTGTGAAAACGTTCGTGCCCTCAATTTTCCGGGCTTTTTCTGTAAGCCGGATGCGTTCCGATTGGAAAATCTGGATTTAGATTTTAGAATCCGGATTTCGGATTTGCAATCGAACGCGAAATCCCAAAACGGATTTCAACGCTGAGATATCTGTTTTTACCGTTCGATTGGGAAATCCGCAAAAGGATTTGAAAAACTGTCCTTAAGAACAGGTCGGCATTAGATTCTACCCACCAAAACCACATCGATCGAGAGGGACTGAGATTAAATTTTGAATAACTTAAAAGTCGTAACCGAAGATTCTCGGAAAATGTACGGATGATATGCACGAACAACCGAACAACCGAATACTAGATCGGACGTTCTAACCACTGAACCATTAGGGCTCTAGCGTTAGTGAAGTCGGAATTCTACTATACCAGCAGAGTGTACTACACTTCTGTACTGGGAGCTGAAAGAAAGAGAAAGGCTCGAGAAAGGCTGCGTTCATTTCACGTGGGGGTGCAGAAAATATATCAGGGGATACAGTTTCATACATAATGACTGAGATGTTAGTAAGATGTTGGAAACGAGCAACGAGCGGCGAGAACGAATCGCGAAGCTCGCTGGTAAGTGCTCGTTCTTTCTCACGCGGAGAAAAATCAGGAACAACCTCTGGAACCAGGATATATAGCTAGGTGTAAATACCGCGAGCTTTATACTCCTCCCACCCCCTGCAAGAAGAAGTTTCTTTCCGGCATGGATTTTAGCATTCCAGTCTACATATATTGACCTCCAAAATTCTAAATTTCTGAGACTTATGAATGTACATAATACAGCTTTACTGCGCTTTTCACAAACATGCGAACTCTAAAGTTCAAAAGCCGCCTTCGCAATTGCGTTTTTCGCTGCCGTCAATCATAATTACGATCACAAGCAACGAACCTTGAAACACAGAAAAACACAAAACGGATCGAAATCCACCAATCACAAATCACAAAACTTGACCTTTTGAACCCATTAAAGTAAAGTCTTGTTTCCTAAGAGGTCCGTTAAGATGATTGACGGCAGCGAAAAACGCAATCGTCAGTTGGCTTTTGAACTTCAGAAACATATCCAAAATTCGCAGCAATTTTCCTATCGAACGCGGGTTCGTAACTTAAAATTCCCCCCATGATGTTCCTGTTTGTTTCCCGGGACTGATGATGGGATTTGGAAGGTCGCGAGTTCGACTCTCGCCTAGGGCACGAAAATTTTCGTTGCCCCGGGCAAGCATGGTTTCTCCTTCTCCCAAGTGAAAATGTTCACTGGAAGTGTAAGTGTGCTGCTCACAAGTGCACATTAAAAAAATAATAAATAATAATAAGAAAATAAAATTTTGTTTGTGTCAATAATTATTATGCTTCATGAGTATGGTCTTAAAAAAGTCCGTCAGTACTTTGCAGAAGCGTAACTATGCGCCTAAAAAAATTAAAACCCTGAGTGGTTTTGGTGGATGTAGACTTCAACATCCACCAAAACCACCGACAGTGTTCGGTGCTAGATGTGTATCACGTAGACCCATGAAATCTGAAACATATTTTAAAACTTCACGTACAATATTTGCCAAAATACAGTTATACTCGTTATATTCACCCTTTGTTGGCGAGAACTCGATCTCCCAAATATTATTAAGCCCAAAGCAAAAGAAAGGCGAATCCCCGGGAGGCGAATACGTCAAAACATCGTAGGCATCTTTCGTTGGTATAACATGTCACAAGATGTCCAAAAGTCAATCTCAGTCCGTCTCGATCGATGTGGTTTTGGTGGGTAGAATCTAATGCCGACCTTAAGAACAGTGGTCTTGCACGCGCACGCATAATTAGCAACAAGAAGGCCGCTGTTCACGAGAACAGTTTTGCAAATCCTTTTTCGGATTTCCCAATCGGACGGTAAAAACGAAATCCATGAAATCCGGATTTGGATTTCTTAATTGAAATCCACCCTGAGGACGGATTTCTCGGAGGTGAAATCTGTTTTCGGATTTCGCGTTCGATTGCACAATCTGAAATCCGAATTTCCCGATCGAACGCAACCTAAGACGATATTAAATAATGTCGTTATAAAATTGAAGTCATGAACATATGCTTTTTTGGTTTGTTTTTTGATACCTTTTCACCCAACACGCGTACCCGGTTTTTCACCTTTAATGTGAAAAATTTGCACGAATTTTCACTACCTCTGCTAGCAAATTTCCTCGGGTGCTAAAAGTTGTGATAAAAAAATGAAGGCCGCGCCGACTAACAAATAATGAAAGACCCCATGAAAGTGTGTTAATATCAGTAGCAGGACTGGACTGGCGTGTACTCTGCTATTTCATCGATTTCTGCTTGCACTCCAGTGGGCAAAATTAGTTTTTGGCCAATCATATAAGAGTGTTCCCACGCTACTGATTAGATAATCTTTTGCATGATGCATCAAGACTTTCCGACAAAAAAATATTAAACATCTTTTCATTCTGGATACTCTCTCTCTCTGACTTACTTTTCACAGACATCAAACCGTTTTGATATTCGGAAGAAAAGAGATTCACCGGTGTCGCCTTATTGAAAAATTAGGTGTGGGAACACGTCTGACACAGTACTCGCGCGTGACTCACGACCCACGACCCACGACCTCTACCCCACTACCCACGACATAGCAGCGTTGGCATTTAAGATTTCCCATGGGAACCAGCCAGTTAGCTCTTCACTTCCGCTTCAAGGATAGATTAATCACGTGACTTTTTTATTGTGCATGATTGGCCTGGGGCAATTTAAATCTGCGCGGCTGTCCGCGCCAAATTTGAATGTTCCACACGTGAATGTTAGCATGTCATAAGCCCGTGAAAAAAAAAACCGAGCCAAAAAGACAAAAGCTTAATATTTCCTCTCGTTTACACCAAAGCTGTTCGATTTGCGACAGCTGAAGGACGCAGATTTTGGAATTTCGCGTTAAAATTGTTTGTCATGAGCTCCGTGAGACGAGCACTATTCAAAGAGGGCTCAAATTCTTGGGTTGCGGAAACAATTGATGAAAAGCAAACCATCGACGACGTCGAGAACAACTCGGCAGAAATTGTCGAATACACCGTTGTGAGCGAAGGAGACGTCACGTTTAAAACACAACTACTGGAAAATCAACGTGGGCTTAAAACTCCGCAGGAAAAGCTGCTTCAACGTGGAACTTCGTCCTTTTATGAGAAGGTAAATTATAAAGATGGCGTTGTATATTTACTCTATGAAAAATATCGAAAAAATTACATGTATCTTACATGTAATAATTTGTACACGTATCTCTTTCATACGTGTTATGATTTTAAAACTAGTCATCTTTAAGTCCTTTTTTGCGTTTCCAAGCGAAATGTTCAAATTTTAGTTCGTCAGTGCGTCAGAGAACGCAAATGTTCACTGCACTTGCGCTAGCTTTCACACTGTTTCTCTAGATTTAATTAAACTTATGCTTCAAGGTTTTTCCCGGTGTTTGTCATAAATTGCTCTTTCAGGATCTTAACAAGAAAATTCTGATTGTCCACGAGGGCAACAGCGAGAAACTTTGTCAAACATGGACGGAACTAAAACGACTCGAAGATGTACGGATAGAGAGTTGCTGTTGTACAGATTTGAGTGCAGTATGTACGAAAGAGACCTTCCTGCTCATTTTCCTGGAGATGTCTTCTGTATCTGGCCATGCTCAGAAACTTTGCTCTACGGTAAGGTGAGTGCCATCGTTAAGAACTTAATATTACTACTGTCTTTCTCTGAAATTTAGTATTGGACATGTTAGCATTCAGTGCTATTAAATTTGTGCAGTTTTATGTTTTCTGTTCCTGTTGTAATAAGTTGTTGTTGTTGCTCAGTGTTAAAAAAGGGGAGGGGATAGAAAGAATTGATTAAAAAAACTCGTTTCCAGTAAAAGAACCAGTGCCGACGAGTTTGTGAAATTTCTATTTAAACGTGATCCAAACTATATGATATGTCTTGAATAAGTCTATGCATCTGCGGAGTTTCGTGATTGTTTCTTTATTGTTCATTCTCTCTTGATTTCAGATATCTATAATATGACAATGCAACCTTATTAACAATAGCGAGATTAAAGAAGAATCACGTTTAGGGCAAACTGGCCAACTTGAAATTGCACCCGGCACGTGATCAAGTAGTTTCATATCAGGGTCATCATCAATAAGAATTATGTTGGACAGTTATCATCAGCTCAATTCCTAATTTGAGAAATTGCAAGCTTGTGTCTCGACGTTATCGTTTGCCATAAATATGTACATTGTAGTGTAATGTTTCTGGTTTATTAATACTTGCAACAAAGTAAAGCGAGTTTGTTAAGAATGTCAAGTATTAAGGTCACTTTGATTTAAGCCTAAAATTACTGCTTGCAGGTACAATCCCAATTCCCTGAACCGCTCTGTTGCCATAATTGGAGTTGTGGAAGAGGAAAGTCAAGGTATGTAAACAGATGATTTTCAGCTAAAATTTTTCGTTTAAGATATAAGCAAGCTTTTTAGCGATCCAGTATACCCTCTAGGTGGATGTCCTGTGGATCACCTGCACAGTAACTGATGACTCTATCATGAAATCTATGAAGAGTTTATATTTTTAAAAAATATTTGTTATAGAGGACTTCAGTGCCCATGGGATAAATGATTTTATACACTTGCCAGTCACAGATGAAAAAATGAATCAAGTTCTGTTGAAGTGGGCTGGACAGAAGCTAAGTGAAGGTAAATGTTAGTCTTAGAAACATACTGTGCATCACTACAATGGGATTTTTGCAGCTTTTTTTACCCACAATCTGCAAAAACAGTTTTAACAAAAATGCTATTGCAAAATTTACTCTAGTGCTTAAGTTATTATTAAATATTGATTGTTGGTTATTACTGTTATTATTTGGTAAATTTTTCTAGGTATGCCCCCGACTCCAGAGAGTCCTGAAGAAAGGATTCCCGTAACTAGGGGATCAAAAGTCTTTGAGAAAATCAATGGAAACAAAGGAGTATCGTCATCACTTGTTAGTTACAGTAACAACAGTAATATATCACCTTCTGTTCAGTAAGTGACTTACAATGACAATGCAAATCATTTAAATTTTGTTTTCAACTTTTCACTCCTAAAGCTCGTCTAAATATTTGTGTATTTCACTCAAACACTGGAGAAAACTGATAGCAAAGGGGTTGAATTGATAATTAAAGAGGAGGGCTTTTGCATTGTTGCAAGCAACAAGAAATTGGGAAAATTGCAGAATTGCATAGGGCTTACAGTTGACATGTACCACAATTTCAGAAAATATGTATACAGTCAATTCTTGCCTTGGGGTCTTACTATTAGGCCTAGGGACACCCCAGTTAATAAAATGGACAGGAGCTAAATCCCCTGGAAAAATATATTGACTGCAATAGACTCGTATTATAATGGACTCTCCCTGTTAACCCTTTAAGCCCCAACAGAAAAGTTAAGAGCGTCACCCTTCCATCCCAGTCAACTTTAGCGTGTTTTTCTGTGACAAAAAAGTTGACCCCTTAGCCTGAGCTAAGAGATGACCTCAGTGCTTGACATGTTAACCCAGCTGGCCATGGGTGAGCCAAAGTGTTTTTATGGAGAAAAGTTGATTCAGCTAGGAGTGTGACCTACCATCAAAATTGAGTGACACAGCAAGGGGTGTGACCTCTCTTAGTAGTTCTAGCCCAGCCTAAAAGAAAAGGAAAAGTTGGCTTGCCCAGGGTAACCAGGGTGGGCGGATGACACTTCTTCCAGGGACACATAAATGGGGCCTGATCAGTGGGGAAGTTCAATTGCAGGGTTCCGTTTGGTCTAGGGTCCCATTTTTGTTGTTGAAGTTTGGCTTCATTAGCGTCAAACTGCATATTCTTCTTTTTTCTAATAATAATAATAATAATAACAATAATAATAATAATAATAATAATAACAATAATAATAATAATAATATTTATAGAGGGAGCCCAACTCGCCAAGGTGGTTTTCAGTGGGGCCCTCATGCATTAATCTAACTAATTAATTAATTACTACAAAAAAAGTTAAATATGTTTACAAGTAAAACAAATTTAAAAATTTAAATCTTAAAATCGATTATACAAAAAATATCAAGGTTTAAAATTAGCTGAGATCTTTTAAAAAAGTTTTTAACTTGGATTTAAAAATAGATAAATAGATAAATCATTTGGAAGGCTGTTCCAGTCTTTCACCTCCTCTAGACATGACATTATGTTTTTTTAATTATTTTTGTGCAGACAAAGCTGTGACAGAATTATCCAAGCAGGTGGTTGTACATCAACAACAGAGTCCTTGAACAAACAACCACAATTGCATGTCAGCCAGCCAGTGTCCCACAATCAGCAACCCTTTCCAAGTGTTATACAGCATGTCTCAAACAGTGGGAATAGAATAATTCATAACAGAGGCTTTGCTGACCACACCCAAAACCATGTTGGGTTGCACCAACCCAACAGCCAAGTCGTTTCAAGCTTCACAGCACCACAACACTTTGTGCATAGTGTAAATCCTTACCAGGATCATCCACCATCTTCGCTGTTTCTGTCCAGATCAGCACCAGAACATGTTCCTGTGCATAGTGGAGTGGTTCCTGGACACGTTGCGGGCGTGGTCAAACATGTTTATCCCAGAGAGCACTGCAGTCAAAGCTATGTTTATCACCAAAGTCAACCGTCTGAACCAAACAGACAAAGCCCCATTTCCAATTTTCGTCCTGTCAATACACCCTCGCTTTACCCTAGCACTTCCTCCTCAAACACTGGAGGACTTGGTTCAACCCATGCAACATCATCAAAGCCTGAGCCTGAACAACACCCAGCATCAAATAAAACATCGGCTGATTGTAGCAGTGTTAAAGTGGTGGGCAGTCCTGCTTACATGATAAGTGGTCCATTGGGAAGCAAAGATATGAAGATCACCCTGCTACATGATGACCTATCTAAACACAGCTCCAAAGAAAGAATAAGAAGGTGAAGATAATTGTTGTCTTTACACTAGACTGTTAAGTAAGACTTAAGAGCTGCTAAGTTTTACTTAACCAAAAACTCGTGTGTGAAGGCCTAAGTAAAATCTCAAGTAACTTTACTTTGCATCTCATTAAAGTCGGAAACTTGAAACGATTCAAGAAAGTTTCAAGCGACTTGAAAACCATCCTTAAAAGCGACTTAGCTGACTTGCGGTTTCTTGAGCCTTGAGAGAGGCGAAACATGTCAATCAATCTTAATTATGTTGTGTGGGAAAATAGCCTTAGGTCAAACTGAAGTAAAAAAGAATTGGTTGTGTGTGAAGCTTTATTTTACTTGGAGTAATTAAGTAATTAAGTACTTGTCTTGAAATATTTCTTAGCCTATTTGGGCTCTAGTGTAAAGACTACCAATAATAAATAAATTCATAGTTACATGACTGTTAATCAAACTATTTTCAGTATCAATAGAGCTAGTTCAACAATTCACTTAGATCTTAACAAGCCACTAGTCAATAACAATTGCTGCCACTGGGATATTCAATTAACAGTACATCAAGTTAAACTTTGTGAAATGCACTGTATATGCACAAGCTGTATCTGTGTCAATCACATGCAAGCAATTGGCTCCTGAGTTGGAGAGTTTCATGTTTAGTTCGCTTGTGTTTTGTTGACACTTAATAATTAAGCCATTTATTGCATAGAGGTAGAGATGCAAATATAAAAGAAACTATTATACTTAATAATGTTTAGCAGAAAAGTCTGCCTCTGGGCTCCTTGGTTTTAATAAACTGTTTTTCACTTCCTTTAATACTACTGTCATTCAGTAAACCCATTTAGTAAAAGAAAAGTTGCTCTGTTCCAGAGAACGCATCAAGGACAGCTGTGATCAGTTGCGCTTTTTGTTACCAAGTGTAGCTGGGAAAAAATCGGACATGGCATCTGTAAGTCAGTGAAATACTAATAAAACTATAATTTTAATTCTTCTTGAAGATTGTAATTATTGTGTGCCTTGCAAGCTAAAATGCATGCCAATACCAATACAATTTCATGTAGCTCACTGTTTCCTCATTCATCAGTCCATACACATGATTCAAGAAGTCATGATTATGTCCCATATTAATAATATTAAATAGGACATTATGCCCACTGATCCAATGGCTACTGAGGTAGTAAATAATAGATCATTTAAACACTAGCGTAATTCTTATTACCGGTATTACTGTGATTCACTATCATTAACTCTGACAACTATAAACAGTAGAAAACATTAATTTTGTAGCCTGTATTGCAGATGTAATTTAACCTCAGTGAGAAACATCTGTGGCGCAGGGCTGAGATACTTTTCCTGGGCCCCTAACGGCCTCAACAAATTACAGGAAGTGCATTTTGAATTTCCGTTCATCTTGACTGGTAAATCGACAATGGCTTTTTTAACGGGCCAATCATGGCCCATACTCAAATCCTAGAACACAGATGGGGACCCACAACAAGGATTCTGGTGCTGCTTCACAGACGGACTTTACCTGAGTTTAGTTTCGTCTACAGTTGTATGGCACAGGCTGTAACATTTGGAGCTGTCAAACAGCTGTTTTGACAAAACTCTATTTGAACTTTCCACTGACAAAAGCCATTGACATGAGCAGCCAGCTCTAGACTAAATTACAATTTTTCGGCCTCCCATGGATGATAAATTAAGGATGCTTTGACTATAATAATTAATTATAGTACCAGCTAGTGAGTAGCAGAAAAATGTTACTGTCCAGGATCCAATAATTATTTTTGACCTCTAACTATGTTCATTTGTTTTCAATATGCATCACTGTACCAGGTACTTGAACTGACAGTTAAGTATGTACAGATGGTGAAAGAGAGGATGCCACCTTCTGTGCTTCAAGAGGTATGCTTTATTTTTCAAGTGCTTCCAAGGATTTTTCTCTTTGTGATGTGATAGAAGTGAAACATAGAGCCCTTCATTGAACATGTACATGGCATAACCTAACGTACTGTAACAGGTACAATCTAAATTAACCTTACAATATATGTTAAGAGCTCAGTAAATAATCTGCATGCCCACACGCACACTGTAAAAAAAAAAAAAATACATACATACATGCACAGGGCTCTGGGGTTTCTCTAGCCGTCTCTAGTCTGTTGCAGGTGCCTAAGTGGTGGGGAAAGCAGATCAAGAAAAGTTGTGTGATAACCACATAGGGGTTGGGAGACATTTTGACACAAGAAACATTTTTTCAGGAAGTGGGTGTGGAAGTGGGCAGTTTGAGGTATTCTAAAAGATGCTTACGGGCTTTCCCCTTCTTGCTTCCCGCAGTTTTTCACTCTTTTGCTATTTCACTGCTCTCTTGCATCTTTGCTTGTGCGGACTGACCGACAGCCTCGTACAGGCTAAGGTTTCTCTAGAGTATTTTTTTTCAAATATTGATGTTACAAACATGCTATGTGTTTTTGTCTTCAGATTTCAGAGAATATCATTGATACAACAACAGTTCTTCCCAGGAAGCGGGCAAACAGAGATGTAGGAGTTGCTACAAAACAGGGCAGGCCAAGGTACAGCAAGAATAACAGCTCTTGATTAATATTCTAAACCAGTTATTGCTGTTTTCACAATATTTCATTCAAATAAAAATAATCTTTGTTTAGTGCATTATTTATTATTCTACAAATGAACCCTTTAAGCTCCAACATCCACACACAAATTCTCCACACTAATCTCCATACAGAGCTCTAAAGAATTTGTTGAAAGAATTTGAAAAAAGATCAAAGCATTTGTCCTTTGGTGATCATTTCATTAATACTCATAACCTTTTCTCTGGATGATGTATTGGTATTGTTAGAAGAAAATTAATGTTCTTCACTGTTGTAAGTGCAGACTCACACCTGCTTCAAGTGTTCATGAAGGAGCCCCAAGACTACCTCATTCGCTACAGCCATTTATCTTGAGATCAGCACCATTTCAAGGCAAAGCTCCAACGCTTGTTACAAGTACAGGTCCCATGTATGTACCACACCTACACATCAGAGCTGGCTATGAACACATGCCAATTCCCATACAGCAGCATCACCAACACCCATCAGAACTAGCGAGTTTTAGGCCAACAGTCTCTCCTCCATCAGCTTTTGATCCCTGCACTGTAGGGGGTACTGCCAGGAGTGCAAACATCATGCAGCATCTCCCGCCACACAATCACGCCATGATCAATCTGCATCAGGAGTGTAATGGACCACACCCATTTCACCCCAAGCACGTGTACCATGGGAACCATCAGACAGTTCTACAGGGGGCAGCTGGGCATAGCAGCGACATGCCGCAGCAGTGGAGTTTCCTGAAATTACCTGCCATTGGGAACATCTTTCATTCTTTAAGCCCAAGTGATTTGAGTCAAGGAGGTTCTAAGCAAGATTCAAGTGATTCAGGAACCCCATCACCAGCTGATTCATCATCCATGACTCCCCCACTTTGGGAGAGCAGTGGAAGCATGATTAGTAACAGACAAGATGACGCACATATGCAGGAAACAAGTCCTAATATGTATAAAGGTTCATCCATGTGAATTAAGGTGACTCTGACTGATGTGCCTTGGGTAACAGTTACTCACTTATTAAGCAAAATTAGACAACAACAACAGAGTTTTGAAGAATTATGACATTTGAGAGCAACTATCAAAGTCCAAAAAAATCATTAAGGACATAAAAATTTTAAAAATCTAATAAGGCTTATATAATTAAAATTTACCATTTTGTTGTTCTGTGAGACATTTAAAAGGCTATCATATTGTGTTGACAAGTGGTGGCCCATCAGAAAATAGAAAAGAAAAAACATCAAAAGACCACTTAAGTTTAATCATAGCATTTGATAATTTATTAGTACTAATGACAACTATTTCATGGTTGTGTATGGCCATGAGTAAAACCTGCAATCATTTTTACTTAAGATGTATCATATAATGTTTATATTATTATTTATACATATCAACAGACTGTATAGAGTATGTAAATAAAAACTTCACAAAAAAATGACAAAAAACCCCTGCCATTTGCTCGCAGGATTTAACTATTACTTTGTCACTGATGAACAAAATCAGTTTTAACAGGATAAGCATTTGTAACAGTTTCTGTTTCTGACAATAAAACCAGTTGTCCTTCACCATTGAGTTTTAATCAACATTATTTTTAAAACTGTATTGAGCCAAAAGTGGAACAAAAAACCTTAGAATTCTTACACTGTAAACTTGTGGTTCTTCAGTTAGGGCAAAATGAGTAAGGATATCAAACTATACAAAAAATAAAGACAAATAATGAGAAGAATATTTTCTCACAATGACAAGCAGCAGGCAGGGATTTTCCTGGAATTAATCAAATGTTTCGTTACATCTACAATAATTTTCCATTTGACAAAAAATTAGGCAATGTCACTTCTACTACTTTGTATAATTATCTTTGTCTGAATGAATCTAATCTACCAAAAAACGGAATTTCAATATTTATAATGTCCAAAGTTAAAATTATAAAAAAAATTCAAAATTACTCGTAAGAATGGAAACAAAATACAGCATGCAAGATTTTGTCACCAGACTCAAAAGTTAAACTCCGACAATAAACCTTCTTACAGGATCTAAAATTGAAGATGTTTAAAGTAGTTTGCTCTTACTTGAAAAAAATGGACTGAGGTTTACGTCAATGACTGAGCACACGTCCCTTACATTTGAAATACATAGAACTTGGCTCTATTAGAAACAAATAAACAAGCAAAATAAAAACTCCTGCTCAAAGAGGAATTTAAAATTTACAGCTGGTTTTATGTTGGGATTCGAATTGCAGTAAATTATTTAACAAGCACTATCTTAACTTTGACAAGTTATATAATAATCTATTTTGAGTTGAATTTACAAATTGGTTCATATTCCAAGCAAAGTTATCAGTTACATTAAATTGTACAAAAGATGTTATTTGATAATGAACATCACATTTAGTTTTTGTTTAAATTTTGCTTAAAAATAACAGTAAATATTTTTACCATAATTTAGGCTCTTTTCTTTTGCTTTTTGTACTTAAATTTAACATAGCATGTTGAGATACACATATGATAGACAGCTGTAGTTGAGTTGTTACAAAAGTGAAATTTGATGAGAACATTGGTTGCAAAATAAACCATCATTTTTAAAGTCTTTTTTTGTTTTATTAACTGTGTGTCAAAATATTCTAGAAATGGAAAATGAAGTACAGTGTCTAAAAAGAAGGAATTGCAACCCAAAATATACCGTGAGTAAAACATGTCAAAAGTTGATACACCAGTAGAATGGTTTCAGACCTTTACTCCATTACACTAGCAAGTCTTTTTTGATGAGGTTTTTGAGAAGCATGCCATATTTGCTCATCTACATCACCAAAGACAACTTGCTGAGAAAAGCTTTAATGCTTACTTCACTTTTCACAAACATGCGAATTCTGAAGTTCAGAAGCCAACAGACTATTGCATTTTTCACTGCTGTCAATCATCTTAACAGACCTCTTAGGAAACAAAACTTTACTTCAAGGGGTTCAAAAGGTCATGGTTCGTGATGTGTGGATTTTGATCCGTTTTGTGTGTTTCTCTGTTTCAAGGTTCCTTGCTTGTGATCGTAATTATGATTGACGGCAACGAAAAACACAATTATGAAGGTGGCTTTTGAACTTTAGAGTTCGCATGCATGTTTGTGAAAAGCGCATTAAGGCAAAAGTATCAATAAGGGCTAAATTACAACTATATTTGCAATATTATTTTCAATGTGCTACCATACTAAGAATATATTATTTAAGTATTAAAGACTACAAAATAATATGCAGTAATACTAGGGGTTAGTGCTCATTTTAAGTCAGGCAGAGAAGATCCTAAATAGACTCTAAGATGTTCAATGGTGGCTTGAATGATCTTGCATGGAATAGTTTTCATGTTGAGCTTTCTGTAAGCTTCATACCTGTGGCAGCCACCAAATGAGTAATAATAATCACCTCCCTCTCGTCCTTTTATCCATAAGACATCAATTGGGGGTACTGTATGTCTTAAACTCTTATCCTGAAACATGATGGAATGAGATGGAAGCTACTGAGTACATGTATTCAGGATTACCAATAGGGAGTGTAGGCAGACTGTCCAACCATCCCAATTTTGGTTGAAAATCCTGAATCCCGACCAATCTGCGATTGGGATAGAAAAATCCCGATGTTGAAATCTGTTCTGATATTTCCAAATAAATTCTTGTGATACTTATACAAGAACACATATCAGAGTATACTTAATGAAAACTGATACAACCAAAAACTTTAAAAATTGTACGAAAATTATGTAAATAAAATCGAATACTTGAACACAAAGCCACATAAAAATAAGTACAAAAATCACAATTAATTTAGTGAATATTTTCGACAGAAATGGCGTCTTGGAGGATCCCGATTTCACATTTATTTCTTGGGGAGAATGGTCCTAGAGCCCCCTAGTGGCTCACCCCTTTATGTGATTCCTCGATCATCAAAAAGTATCCCGATTTTACCTACTGAAAAGGTTGGACAGTCTGGGTAGGGGAGTCTGGCCAGGGTATAACTGAACAGATCTTAACATACATATACATGCACTGTTCAGGTCTTCAAATAGCCCCCTTTGCAGCTAGCCATTCACGTGGTACAAAACTGCCATGCTGGAGAGCAAAAGTCGAACTGGGATGAGACAAACAAAGGAAATCACCATTTAAAACTATGTTAGCCTTTTGTTTGTCTTGTCCCAGAGCGACTTTTGCTCTCCAGCATGGTGGTGAATGGCTAGCTGCAAAGGGCTTAATTTGGAGAGAAAATTCACTACAGAAGGATTTGCCCCATTTTTTATACATTTTCTCTAAGTTATTTTTTAAAATAATAATTTTGCCGCAAATACTGTGAAGCTTTCAATGCATTCTACATAGTTCTTGATGACTGTGTTTTTTTTATTACCATATTTTTCTGCATTATCATAGCATCCAGGATCGGAGCCCTAATTCGTTTTAGTTGGGAACCTTTTGTGGGTAGACTGAATATCAAAATTAAAATGTGTCAACCTATTTACCTTATTTTGGGTTTCATTCTAGGAAGCATGTATGGTTATCATTATTCCGTATAAACGTTCGACATTAGAGTCATTAGAACCCACCTGAATTGTTTTAATGAGTGAGTTGACTTTTGCTTCCTCTAGAACCGGAGGAATGGGTCGAATTATGACATCTATGGGTACTAGATGAACCTCGTTTACTGCCGCTGAATGCACACTACTGTCTGAGGCCATTGCCCGCAATGATGTCTGTATTAAACAACATACAACTACCACTACCACCAAACAAATATGGCGGCTTGAAAGCATTGCCATAGCTGGGACATTACAAGCGCTATTACATGACGTAGTATTCTCGATGTTGAGCAAAGTGGGAAAAATGGAATGAATGGGATTTTGGAAAGTCCTGGAGAGCGGAATCAGAGAATTACAAATTTTTCGAAGTGGATTTTCGAAAACATGCCAACTACGGCCCTTGGGACGGATCTTCTTTTTCTTGTTTGGAGACTGTGGAGATCAATTTTGAATGCAAAAAATAAAGAACAAACATTGACATCATCTCAGACACCTCCTCTGAATATAAAAACTAGTATGAATTCTAAATTGCCAGAAGAAAAATCAAAAAGGTAATAAACAAACGAGAAACAAGCTTATAAAAACATGAAAATACCTTTCTTGATATTTTGAAGGCCCACACACAAGCTTGGTCAATTTATTACCCCAATATAATAAATATACAGATATGAGTAAGATTAATATGATTCAGGGTTCACAAAAAAATTGCAACCATTTTGCAAGGACTTTTCTAGGACTTTCAAGGATCACATTCGATTTTCAAGGACCACCTACCGGGAATATAATTTCTCACATAATTGTAAAAAAATGCTCATTCTCAGTCCACTTTGAATCAATCACTTTGAACGTCTCTGAGCAATTACTTATATTCTGTCATGGTAAACCAAAAAGCACTAAAACACTTTCTGGGCCACCGCATTCAAAGTTGAAGAAATTTGAAGGACTTTTCAAGGACTCTTCCAAAAATTCAAGGACTTTTCAGGAATGTGCGAAACCTGTGATTGTGGAATAGAAAGTGACTAAAATGTGAGGCTAAATAAGAGAAAATTAGTAGCAATAATGCACCAGTCAATATTAAGCCCCAGGGTAGGGGGAAACAGGCAGGGGGATTACACATTTTGGGCCATTTTCTTGTCAAATTCTTTACCCAGGGAGGAAAGACTGATGTCAAAGACCCCTTCCCTGGAGGTACGTTCATTTTGTTTGATTTAAGATGATACAAGTTACAGTGCATATTTCCTTTTCACTCCCACTCTTTATTTTCCGTGTAGTTTATACAGTGCATGTCCCACACTTTGTTCAGAGGCATTTCTCCCAAAATCTAGCATCTTTTAATGCTGTTTAGCGGCATTAATTACCTGTTGTATAATTCCTAATTTTAAGTTAGAACGTGACTAGGCTTTGCCTTTGCCAATTGGGCAATTGAGCATGAAAAGTTACTTGCTCAAAAGAGAAATCTCCTTTTCCCTGAGAAAGTTTTTTGAAGCTTGAGCCCTGTCGTTAACCATTGGTCCTAAATTTATTGATCTCAAGACTTCTCTCTTTAATAATTTCTACTGAATTGTTTTGGAAAGAGTTTGTGATGAATATTATCATTGTCACTAAAATTTAAACTGTAATTATGTCAGATTTTATTCCTTGAAATGAGCTGAAAAGAAGTGCCCATAAAAATACCATGTGGCATCTCCCCACACTGTATAATCATGATTCAAGGAATTAGTTATATCTAGAGGTTGTTATATTAATGCTCTACCTTTACTGTATTTCTTTTTTTACATTCAACAATATATAGTACAAATCTATTCTACACAGGTTTAAAATAAAGGAAGTAAAAATCTGAAAAGAAAATGTTTGAATTTGTGTTAAGTTTCTCTACGGATCCAGGGTTGTAAAAAAAGCTGGTAGTGAGAAAAATCACCACCCATTTCATGTTTTGGCCAGCAGGTACTTTGCAGGTCTATCCTGCGGTTCTTTAATATAAAAGATCGCAAAATCACCTACCATATTTCCTTGATTAAACGCCAGCCTCGAAAAAATGCAGGGTTAAAACTGCGGCTGATTTTTTAATAAACGCCAGGGGCGTTCAATTGAGAAAATACAGTACTTGAAAACATTCTTACAACCCTATGGATCACTTTTTAGTAGGACCAGTTTTTGACATACCACTACATTTTTTGTTAAAAAAGTACTTTTTATGATCATAATCTTTGTAAATATTTTTTCTTGAGGGCCATGTGTATATTATCTGTAGATATCATGTGAAACCCTCATTGAAAAAATTATCTATCCGTAATGTGGAAGGGGTGAAACTGAGCCACATCACCAAAAACATCATTTACTTGGGAAGACAGCTAATATGTATAGTTAAGTTTTCAAGAAGAAACAATTAATAAATCCACCTCCAAACTGTTAAATTGCAACTATTCCTTGGTCACTCAAGAAAACGTATTTCTTTGATTCTTTCGACTTCACTGTATGACGTAAAGGAATGTTACCCTCAAGGCACATTTTCTCTATTTTTGGTGCCCAGTAATGTCAGTCTGTATTTAAAGTCAAGATATTTTCAGCTCTCTTTCTTAGCTTTTGGCTTCTTGCTCTTAAGCATTACAACAGCAACAAATATTCCTGAAAAAAAGGCATAGAAAATAGTTAAAAGAGGTCATTTACAGGTATTGGCTCGTTTGTACGAATGGTGAATAGACAAAAGTGCAATATTATTTAGGTATAGTCAAGTGTTAAGCACGAGAGACAAGAAAACAATGCAAGATAAGGGGAAGAGACTAATGCCTGCACACGGTCCAAGGTCCTTTTCAGGGTTTTCAATAAGAGCCGGTGGCCAACAAATTCGCCGGCTATTTCACATGAACTCACCTCTTACTTTTCTTTGGAAATTACCCCAGTTTAAATAGAGTATTCATGTGCTGTCACTGAATAAAAAAGCCAAAATTTAATGATGTCTGTGTTCTGTTCAGCACTCTAATTTTTGCTCCAGAATGCTGAAAATGCCTTCTTAGAGGCCCAGATTTCAACATTTTTCCAGAAACTCGTGCCTTTGCCACAAGTTTTTTCCTACTCCACCAACTCCAAAGGTATAGCCACCTACTTAAAATTTTATTAAAAACCCTGCTTTTTCTTTCACCCACTGGTCTGTCCACCAAGGGTCACAGACAAAATTAAGTGAATCAAGCAAGAAATGTGCTTTCCATTATATATATTCAGCAGGCCTTTATACTATCCTCAATTAAAGTATGCTGCCTGTGTGTTACGAGAAAGTGCACAAGATGGAGGAGATTCATAGTTTCCTAAGTGTCTCCAAGGAAAAAACAATGAGAGTGTAATGTCAATGAAATTTAAGCTTGGATGCAAAGTTCTAAACAAAGTATAAAAAAGGGGTACCTTTTTCATGAAAAAAGGTGTATAAAAGGGTAAGGGGTTGGACCTAGGGGCAAGGCCCCCCTGTAGAAACATTTGTTGAGCACCCTCCCCCCCGCCCCAGGGGTTTAAACTGAGAATACACTTTACACGTATACCTACAACATATAATTTATATAATGTGCTTTTCAAGATGATGCAATTACTAGTTCATATAGACATTTATGGTTGTTAATTAACCTTAGCTTAACTACTTATTTGCCCTTTTTGTTTTACAAACAAACCCAGGGCTGCTGGATTGTGAGTCCGATGTGCTGACCAAAAGCCACATTGCCGGCCAAGTTTCACTTGTGCTCCTCTCATGCTCCGCACTTATTGCTCACATTAATCGTGCTCTACTTTCTCCATTTTTGTGCTTGGACACATTATACCCAGGAATGTCACTAAGGTCCAGCAGGGACCAGGGATTTTCACTGGCTGCTATAAGCAAGATCAGGTAAGTTTAATCTGAGGAACCGCAGACCGTAGAACCGCGGAACCGCGGAACCTGCGGAACCTACAGAACCTAAAGAAATGACTGTTTTATTACAACTGCCTTTAGTTAACGTGATAAAGTAATTAGTTACAATCAATTATAACGTTGATAGAATGTTCACAGTCCCTCTTTTTTTTCATAAGATCGTCGAGATTGAACGCTCACCTTCACTGGCAGCCATTTTGTAATTGGATTCAAATGTACTGAGAGAGCAGGCCTCAGGGTTCCCAAACCATCCCCCGCCCTTTAAGTATAGTTCAAGCTAGACCCAGTCAAGATGGTCACCTCTAGCACTCGTTCTCGGTGATCTTGCGGAAAAATAGAGGACTTTGAACAGTGTATAACACAATAACGTTAATTGAGAGCTCTGGTTCCAAACGGCAAGTCCACTTAGCAAATTTCCACCTTGTTAGTACATAGGAAAGTAACGAGAGGTCTATAATTAAACAAAGTAGCACAACGTAGGGAAGATGAGAGAATGTAAATGTGCTTGTGAAAAATAGATGATATTGAGCGAATGGCTGGGGCGTATCCAACAACTAGTGGGATACGTGTGGGTGAGTCGCTTGTATGAGTGTGTGATAGTATGAACATGTTGTATCTCCCAGTTGAGGAGACCAAGATTGTACGCCTTGTTGGAGGAACCTGTCAACGTATACTCAGGGCAAGGCTGAATGGAAAAGCTCGTTTAGTGTGTAACGAGCAAGATAATGAGCATAAAAGATACTGCTTTTGACGGTTGTAGGTTTAGTATGAGGACCAATTTCAAAGATCAAAGATCACTACCGCCATTAGGGGACACCTTGACATAGAGAAATGAGAAAGATTTGAATGAGCAGTTTGATATAAATTTAATGGTGGAATGAAGGGCATTTAGGTAAGAGATGGAATAATACTTTTATATAGTTAGAAAGAATTTGAGGTCCCAAAGGCTGTGTGTATGATGGATGTAGAGCGGTCACGGGAAGTGACGGCAGGCGCCAATAATACCCTCATTATGCTCTCATTCTACTGTGTTTAAATCTATACCTCTTGTTTCTTTCCGATGACTAACAACAAGCCAGAAGGCCACAACTCGAGGACTTTCTGTGTCAGAACCAGAGCTCTTGATCAGTGATACTAAACCGAAATCAACAACAGTTTTCAGTAGTCTGTACTGTTATTGACAATAGCTCTCGACCAATCAGCAGGTGAGAAATTGCTCAGTTATTGTAAAAAATTAATGGCAACTAATTATTTTATCACATTAGCCAAAGGCAATTGTAACAATACAGTCATTTCTTTAGGTTCTGTAGGTTCTGCCGGTTTCGCAGTCTGCAGTTCCGCAGATTAGTCTTACCCAAAGGAAAATGACCAAAACAACTCCCTAGCTATTCAATTACCCACCTAATAACACTACCTGAATCTTACTGACATCCCTGCATATCCATTCATACTAATCTGCTCACAGAGTCTCCCTCGGGAAGATTGAAGAAGACTCTGCAAGCAAGTTTATTCGCAGCGACTAAGGTTCAAATTAAAGTCAGAATTACCTATTACTCCTAACAGCACAAGGCCTGCAACAACAGGAATTATAACAGCATACATTCTTGGAAGAAATATTCTCTGGATTGGATGGCCCTTTTCTACAAATGGCTGAAAGAAATACAATGAAATGGCACTTATTTTTGGAGGGTAAAAAGAATACCACTTCCTATTCATTTCCAATATTCTGGAAATGAATGATAAAGAAAAAACTGTCTGCTAAAAGAGGGAGAACATATGATCCACTGTCAGTCGTTTTGAAATCCCTACTATTATCTTTTACCTTCCTTGAAATCAGTGCTCCCTTCCCTCCCTTCCATGGTAACAGAGATGTCAAAGCAAAAATCTAGCAAGATTTTCAGCTGTTGTGAAATGCTTCATAGTTGTTTCCCTCAGGTTATATAAAAACTTTCTGTTCTTGAAATGTCTCGATGACACCAAAATAGCTCAGTAAGCCAAACGAATGAAATCGAAATACATTAAGCTTGACAAGAGTCAAAGTCTATCTGAAAAGCTTATAAATTTGCAAAGCGGGTAACAACTTACCAGAAAGATGACCCATATCGTGTAATACACGAATATTAAAGCACTAACTAACATCATTCCATATCCAGCAGCACGATCCGTTCCTGTAGCCTGCATCAAACATGTTAAAATTTTAAACAAAAACAGTTTTAAAACAGTCTGTGATCTGATCGAGTTTGAGGTGAGTTTGTAGCATGCAATTTATCTTCAAAATAAGGTCTCAAAAGTGAGCGAAAATCTTAAGGGTTGCAAGGAAAAGAGCCCAAAATAACACTTATGCACGCCAAACACTGAACTCACCATTTTAAAAGCAGAAAACCAGGGAAATATTGAATAAAATGGGTAGGATGTGAACGATTGGTGGAACTGATCTCTTCCACGTTTGCAAGGTTCTGACACTTCAACCTTGTTGGTCAGCGGAGCGTCAGCCGGAAGAGGAAGTTGAATAACTTGTAAACAAACTTTTGTCAAAGTGAACAAAGGATCGTGGTAAAAGAATAGTATGTGGAATAATAGATCGATGCGAACACGAATATTCGCGTAGCTTTATTCTGAGATTTGCAGCCTTTGATCATGGGGCAAAAGTTGTGCTTAGTCATCGAAAGACCCATTCTCAATTTGGGTGCCACGCTGAACGAATCCTCTGGGGTTAAAATTTAGAATTATTTTGAAAACTTTATTGAGCGAGAGTTTCAAGATGAAAGTATTCGTTCTTGCCTTGTTGGTCCTTAATTTAATGTGCTTCGCCCTTGGGGATAAGGATCAAAACTCCGATTTTGTTGATCTAGATGCCGCAGACGGCGATGCGTTACCGCAAGTTGAGGACTACGTGGAAGACGAGGAAGACCCAAACGTAAGTCGAAGTCAATTATTGAGCTTGTTTTTAATTAGTCAAAATGTAAAAGTCAAATTGTTCCAATTTTTCCTAGAGCTGATTATAAACTGAACAGTTTGGAGGAAAATACTGCTCCCGGTGTTTCGTATGAATGATTTAGAACCACGCAAAAATGCAAAGCTGAAGTTAAAATCATGGATATTGTTATCTGAAGTTTTAAGAGCCTTTTTAAAAGATTTATAACTCAGATTTGTAAAATCATGAAATTGAGTTAGTTGTCTCTGTAACATATCCTTTATTTAACAAATTTTTCTAATAGAGTATAGACAGTCAAAGAGTTGAGTTAAATGTGGTAATAGGCCCCTGGCGAGGTTTATGCAAGAGCCATTATGGCTCTTGGTTTATGATGATTTCCAAACCTAAAAAACGTTCTATTTTCTCCTAATTATTAGCTTTGATAACACTTTGAGAATGTTAAAATAGAGATTGGAAAACTGCTACTGCTATTCGCTTTAATTTATCTTTCAGTCACACATGTTTTCCTATAACACTGACCTAAAGTTATGCCCAGAATTCATTTTTATTTCCTTCCAATACAGTTCACGGATGATCTTGAGGATGATGATGACGATTCTCAGCAGGTTTGTAATGTTTCAAACTCTTTCGCCTATTTCTTCAGTTTTTAAAGGGCCGAAAAGAAATTAATCAGTCAGGCAACATAGGTTTCCTGTGCTTAATAAAAAGCAAAAACATCAGTGAATAATCCATTTACTGTGTTAATTAGATCTTAAGAACTAAACGGCAAAAATTCAAGTTGTACAATGGTAAAAAGCTCAATTCATATCAATTGGACAATGTTTTTATCCAACTCTTATTATTTCAATTCTCTATTCAAAAAACTGGCTTGAATTAAAACCCTAAAGCACGAGTTCATCTCAGTGACTTTATGTTTAATCTGATCAAACACTTCTTTCATTTTTCAACAGGACGAAGAAAGCGACGAACCAGAGGACCCCGAAGGTTTTAAGGTAGAAATTATTCTGTTTGTAGTTACTTTTTTAAGTTTCTTGCTGCTTGCGACGTACAGCTTCTCAATGCCATTTTTATCCCAGGATGATGTCCGGGACGATGACCAGGATGATGATGTAGACTACCTCGAAGATCCAGTCAAAGATAAACTAAAGGAAAAAATGCGCAAAATGCGACCACTTAAACCAGACGTAAGTACAGACTTTAAAATACTCAGTTGGTAGTTGAGATACGTATTTCTTTTCTTTTCTCTTTTTTTAAATTTGGCATAATGTCTTGGTCGGAGTAGGAGCGTTACAAAGAATATCGCTCGGCTGATGATTTAGTTACTGATCTACATTATTGCGGCAGTTTTGGGGCAATGACTAGTCATGAGTTTTCTGTCTATCGAAAAAAAGGCTGATTTAAAAAAGCCCATTTCAACGTTGTGCACGAACACTCCAAGAAAAAGACGAAAATTTCTTTCGAATGTCAAGCAGGGAAAACGTAACGTTTCAATAACTTCCTCAAATCTGCGGAAAATGCTCCTTATTCGAAACATGTGGCAACTTGTTGCTACGTCATTATTGCTGTGTTCACGTGATTACCGTGCTTGATGATCGACTTTGATAATCTCTACTATAAAAATGCGAATTCTAAGAATTTCCTTGCTGTGGCACTGAGCTCCAACGATAATTTTTTCTTGATTATAATTTTTCGGTGGACTGTATTTTGACAGGTGGATCCTGAAATGGAAGTTAATCCAAAGCCAACCGAAACAACAGGAAGTGGCATGGAGTCAGACGAGGTGGGAAATAGCGCGAATTTTCGCAGTTATCGCATATTATACTTGCGCGCCCAAATTAGTTTTCTCGACGAGAGGATTCTCAGGTATAGCAAGCTTTGCTAGCATTTCAGGCCGATTAAATCTCTCCAAACGTTCCCAAACTTTTTCGACGAAATTCAGGGTCTTTCTCTCCTCTTACCCACGCTTTGCTCATAGGCATGTTTTTGCACTACGCACTTTTTTCGCGTTCTACGTATCCTTTGCAGCTTGGCGAATTGTGGGCGATCCTATTTTCCACGTCTTAAGTGACACTATTTCTTAACCTAGGATCCAGGCGCTTGAATTTTGTTAAAAAGTGTATGGTCTCCTAAATAATCAGTGACATTTATAGTACCACAACTTACTGAGTTCATTCTTATTCTTATATATATATTTTTTTCAGGATGCTGATCTCAAACAGGCTTTGGATAGCAAACTGGGCTTGAAGTAATCCGGGATGGCACACCAAATTTCTTTTAAAAAAGGCTCAGTCAATTTACAAACTTTAAAAGTACATCAGGTTTTTTTTTCAATTCGAAGAGAATTTTAAGTTTTTTTTTTATATAAGGGTTCTTTAATGGAATGTTTTTCCGAGGATTATTAAACTGTAAGAAATAACTTAACGCTTTTGATGATGTCTTTAAGTTGATGTTTTGTTCAGAGTTTCTAAGTTTTTTTCATTTCTGATTTCTATTTTGAAATTTTGTAATTACTACATTATTGATTAAAGCCTGATGCCTTGAAACAACCATGTCTGACTTTATGTAATTATTCAGCCCTAAAATCACATTTTCGAAGATAATCTTCTATTTCTCAGATGTCTTGTTGCCTCGACCTCTTCGGTAATTAACAAATTATTGCGATGAGAACTTTAAACGTAAAGGGCGATATCTTTGTTACGCTTTTTTTTTTATTTGTCGTGAATGATAACGCAGTTCACTTTAAAAGAAATGTTGTGACCAAAACAATGAGCATTTTAGCGCAAAAAAATTGGTGAGGCAAATCATGAGCTCGACCTTTTCAAAAGTGTGAAACGTCGGCTAGGGAGGAAATCCTTACGAATATTCTCGCAAGTTCTGTAGTGAAAAATATGCGACCATTTCAAAATCGCGACGCTCGAATGAGTCGAATCCCAAGACAATTTTACAAACAGCTCACACAGGGAAGAGCGAAGAGTAAAATTTCGCGCAAAAAATTGTGAAGTGAAGAAAATGTTTCGCTCAAAACGATGTTAAATTTTGGCAAAATTTTGTGACAAAAAATTTATCACCCTTTTAAAATTGCTAGGCTTTGCTCCCATGAAAATCTTCTTAATAGGCATTTTATAAAGCAGTTAAAAAAAACAAAACAGACAAAGTTCCTAAAAATGAAGCCTGAACTGACTTCGGGTCGTTATTACTCCCTCAGGAGTAATAACGACTCGAAGTAATCGGATGAAATTCAGCCTACCTCAAAATGTTCCTTTTAATTTTTTGTTATAGCTATCTCCACAATTGGGCAACGGGCTATCATGAAAATCCTTTTACAAGAAGCTTCTATAGCCAAAAAGTTTGAATTTGTTCAAAACAGAATTACGTTTACTCGAGAAGAGAAATTGCGTAAAATTATCCGGCGTGAAAAAGTATATCACGTTTTCAACATAAAAAGTTCGCTTTGTTTGTCAACAACGTGCAAGAACGGGAAAATTTGGTGACGCAACATAAACGATGTTATAGATGGAGTAAAATTTAGTTCATTTACTTTCATATTCTATGAATTTCGCGCAAATCTTGACAAATAATAAACAACTCTTTTAAAAAAAGCCAAGGAGGTAAAAATTCCCGAAAAAGTTCCCTTTAATACTTGCGACAGAAAATTGCTGGAACTGTAAAATTTCTCGCAACATTTTTGTCGGAAAGCACTCTTTCAAACTAGTTTTGTAGCCAAAAAAAAAATTATTGTACGGGCGTCCCACCAAACAAGTAATAAATTTATGATAAGATAGATAGATAAATATTTCAATCTGCACGAAAGAAGAAGTATCTCCGTGCAGAGCGGAGAGAGCGCCAAATCAGAGAATTGAAGCAGATAATAGTCGATGATACTGGGAAGAGCGTCTTGGAATAAAAGAAACTTTAATATTTTATACATCAAGGAATACATTAAAGACCGGGAAAAGGTTGCTTGCTTATGCCTATCAGAGAAACACCAGTCTACTATCAAGCTTTCAGTATTTTTTATTGGTGTTTTAATATTAGCCCTGCACCCGGTCCACACAATCTTATAACGACCTATTTACAAAGTCAGGGAGACGTAACGGTATAACCTTTGAAATCAAAAGAGCTTATTAAAATATAAAATAATGCTCGTTCAAATTGTTTTCTAGAACGAAAAACCGCAATTTTTAATACAATTTCCCGAAAGGGTTTTGGCACTGGATGACTTCCGCTCCTATCCAATGTTGACCTAAACGGCAAATAGCAGGAGAATTTTTTCCACGTTTTGTTTATTTTTTGCGCAAAACCTCTGAAATATCTCAAGCTTGTAGAGAAGAGCTATATACACACACATACAGAGATTGGCAAAGAGCTTAAAACCTAAGCTTTTTATGATTTTGGTAACAATGAAATGTACAACTTAAATACAACGAGTTAACCCTTTAAGCCCCAGTATCCACATACAAATTCTCCAAACTGATCTCCATACATTTCCTTTAAGAATTAGTTGAGAGAATTTAATAAAACATAAAGGCATTTTCTCTTTTGTGATCATTTTTTATATTCTCACAACCTTATCTCTTGCCAATGTATGGACATTGTTAGGAGAAAATTGCTGTTGGTCACTATTGGGACTTAAAGGGTTACGGTAACAATTCAATTTCTCAAGCAGTGCTTGCATGTTATCTGTATCCATAGTGATTTTCGTAGCTAGATCTCATCCTCGAAACAGGGCGCCCATACATATCAGTGTCAGGCTCCAGCAGCTCAGCCCCGTATGCCTCTGTATAACCAGGCGACACAGGCCTACCATACCGGCTACTCGGCCGTGCAATTTGACCTTGGGGAGGACCATAACCTCCCTGGTCAGGCTCATCATCTATTAAATGTCCCCAAGATCCCATGGCAGCCTCCTCCGTTAAATACCCCATGCCTTCTTCAGGGTATCCCTGGTATTGCGCCATGGCATATGGACTGACAGGATGTCCCGCAGCATCCATGTACGCTTCGCCATTGTACATCCCGTATTCACCCGGATCTTCCATCAGGTAATCCGGGGACATGGCTCCTTCACGTGACATGAGCGTGACCGGGTCGTCGTATCCCGGATGACCGTAGAAGAGGTCAGGTCTGTCGAGAGGATCTCCGTCCATGAAGCCATCATCTCCGTACATTAGGCTGTCATTATCTTCCATCGGTGCACGGTTTTCTATCATTTCCAGCCACTGCGAGTTGTGCCAGCGAAATTTCTCTGCCTGGATTTTCTTTGCCCATTCTTCATCATACTCCTGTAAACATTAAAAAAATCAAAAATTTTTGGGGTCACCCTAGATAGTCGCCGAGACTCAACACCGAAAACTAGCGATATTCCTTCTTCTTGTACCAGAAATAACTAGAATTTAAAATGGCCACGCGCGACAAAAGAGAGATTTAGATTAACAGTTAAGATAAAAAGGTGACCAAGTTTTCCCTTAACTCGTACTTTCCTGTTCATTACTTCTACCCCCAAATTAGTAGCTTCACGTTAGTTTTGTCTGTAACAATTGTTTTGGACTGCTTTTAGCTGCACGTATTCTATTTTGAGGAATTCTCAACTTCAATCTGACGTTTGCTGTTTGCAGTAAACGTCACTCTGAATTTCTCTAACTGGTGCGCAAAAGCAGGCGATATTCAAGTCTGGAACTGCACTGACTGTGGATGTGTTTTGGACATAGTTTCCTATGAATTCTCGTAACAGCCGATGAACAATGCCACTGTGCGCTCAAGAAAGTGTAGTTTCTTTCTGTTGCAGATGGTGCGATCAACAATTGAGGTATTACAAAAGACTGAAAAGACACTGCCTCGGAGTCATGTTAGAATTTTAATATCTTGAAGGTGGGCTATTGTTAACGGTATGTTTTACAAACCAGGGGTCTATAAACGATTAGCGAAGAAGAACTTTCTCACAAGTGTCTCTTCTATTTACCTCTTATAACGTAACAGTTTACTAGACAACGTGTAAAAACAAACTAGCACTGTACCATGATGATGTCTAGGGTCTGGTCACACACTTTACGGATCTCCGTGTTCTTGTCATGCATCAGATCAATAAGATAAGCTGGGGCCTCTGATGGAGATTAGATTAAGGACTGATCAACAATCACAAAAGGCTAACACCAAACAAACTAAGAAGGGGAGAACCCTAGGAACGAGGTTGCCCTTAAATTGCCTCAATTATATGATATGGAAGCCGGGCACGCTCTCATTGGTGGAAGATTGTGATTTGCCACAGGAAAACCAGGTGGGCGTGGTCACTTTCCTAGGATCTGATGCTGATCCATTTGTCTTTACACGGGTCTATAAATGATTAGCGAAGTTGGATTTTATCACAAGTGTCTTTTTTTACATGTTACAAAAAGCAGTTTGCTTAAACGAAATACATAACAACAAGCTAGCATAGAGTCTGCTGTTGTGTTAACTGAAATGATACACGCAAGGCAAATGCCTTTAATACATCATATATGAGGGTCACCCGCTGGTGAAATATTGAAACCGCGACCCCGTTAAAATCAATCCAGTCGTGAAAATGCGACCCCATCCTGCGGTACATCCCCATTAGCCTCTTATAAGGAAGTACCTCCCACCCACACGGGTGTGATCAACCAAACAGAACCTCTCAAGCGGAGCTTAGACATGACACCAATTATTTTCTTGTCTTGAAACTAAAATTTGTACATTTTTATTTAATTTTGATTCGCGCACAGTTTGGCGAAATGAAGGGTCACGCGAACGGGGAGAATAGAGGAGTAACAGGATTACGTGTTCAAAGGATACGTGTTTGCTTGATGATCACTTCCCGAGTAGCTTTGTGAAATATCATCTGGTAAAACACATACACGATTTGCAAAACAACTTCATCATCTTCTTGTTTAGCTGCAGAAGTGAAAAGACAAGGTACATTAACTTAAAAACGTAAACATGTGAGCAAATCAGCCTTTCTGAAGCCCATTTAGCTTCTTTTATTTCAAAACTCGTTTGCTGTTAGTTCGAGCGGTTGTAGCTCATTTTAATTCGTGCTGGAAATTTCATTGTAATCCGAGTGATACTGGTCACATAACCTTGATTAAGAAAACAAAGCTTACAATCAAGAAAAAGAAGTCTATTTGCGATCTGCCTTCGGATAAAAATTCTATGCAACTCGAATGGTATGCACTACTACTTCTGGTCATTATTATAACAATAACTTTTGCAGAATGTTATGGCCCTGTTAATTTTAACAGTACATCAAGAGAGACGCCAGTCACATTTATAAAGCTGACATCAAAAACATAAAAGATAGCCTAAACTCTGCATTAAAAACTTGGCCAGGATAGCCTTGCAAATTTACTCATTAGCTTGTACGTGAACCCTTTGCTGTAGCGGCTGGAACTAGTACAGGACAATTCACTATCTCAAGAAAGGCTGGGAGATAATTTATGCCAAGTAATAATAGCAAGAGCGAGTTGTGATTCTTACCATTTAACAAGTCTATGAGCATTTGAATAATCCCCTCTCTGGCAAACACTGTAGCGCATTCATCATCTAACGACACCGTACCAATTAATATGACCACTTCAAGAACCAGATCATCCTCAGCTATGCCTGAAATCCAAATCAATGATATTGTCAGAAAACCATTGTACGTCATCCAAAATTTGTTGCCAAGATTTACCTCTCACTTTGGTAGTGAGTAACTGACCGTATTCCCTGAAATACCCCTGCTTTGCGGATTACTCTCCATAGAATGTGCAAGCCTTACTGTCCATCCCCCACCCCCGCCCCTCCCAGTTAATCACATTTCATGGCAAATGATAAAGGACTTTCCACTCACCTGGTTGTAGTTTAGTTTTAATGTAATTTAGCATGTCGTAATCTGTTAAGAGCGCTTGGAAGTTCACGTCTGCAACAGTAAGGTTGCCTAAGATCCCCAGTGCCTCCAAGATAAACTCTTCATCTGGGCCGTTCATCACGGCTTTAGCAAGCTCACCAATGTATTCCTGTGTGGACACAACAATGTTCAATATTATTGCTACCTTAAAGCTATCATTAGTTGAGTGACGTGCAAATTGTCGTACAACAAACTGGAGACGACCCGACGATTTAGTACTCACGTTGTGAGAAAAACACCGTAGCACGCTGGAGGGCAAGAACGATAGTCTAACATTTATAGACCTGTATATGCCTCGTTATAAGAGAGTGAAGCGACAAGCACGCATTTTGGCCTGACTTCCAGTTTTGGGTTGACTTCGACGTTTTACGGGGCCCTCCTCGGTTTGTGTACTTTGGAAAACCTTCACGTTGACGGTGTAAACTTACATTAACAGCGCAATCATAGTAAAGAAACAAAACGTGGCTTAGCATGCCGGGTAGATAATTATTTCAAATTATTAATTTGGCGCCAACATTAGTAGCGCCAAAGTTTTATGCTTCAGCGCTTCCACGTGTTACTTTTTGCTTGTGCTTTTCGCAGGTGTAAATATCCTTGTACTGACGCTGCTTTCCATATTCCACATTCACCGAGATGCTTAATACGAATCACTTCACCACGCTCAACCTCGTCCCCAGGGCACTTTTCCCTCCAAAGCCGGGGAAAAGCGCCCTGGGGACGAGGTTACACCACGCTTTCAAGACGAACTTGTGTATGATCTCATCGCTGTCGCATCACATTTCCAATCAAGCTATTGGACCTTCGATTGTTGACAAGAGCTGTTAAAATACCAGTCATAGGGTATGCCAGAATCTGGTGTACCAGAACAAGCTTTTGTTTAGAAGTAGGACAGGCGTTCCTTTGCTCTGACCCCTACCCCACCCCTCACTGTTTTTACTGCCCACATTTCTTTGTGCTGTCCCCACAATCTCAACGCTAAGAACAGGCTAGTACTGTACAAAACAACATGACAAAAGAAACAAGGCACGATCATGCACATGAAGTGGTAATAAATCCAGGAAAGCACATGAGATAACAAGGAATTACATAAAAACAGCCCAGTGCGCTTCCAACCAGTTAGAGATCAGTGTGAGATTCTGGGAGTGTCCACCCACCCCTCCCAGAACCCAACCTTCACACCAATTTCTCATTTAGGGCAAAATGTAGGGTTAGGGGAGGGGTAGGAGAGCAGTTTCACAGCACTCACCAGAAACTGAGACTTGGTAGGGCCATCATGCTGTGAGATATTCCTAATCATTTTGAGCAGCAAAGGATCATTGAACTTGAATGCTCTTCTCATCAGTAGCCTCAGTCCAGGTCCTTCACAGATCAGTTGAGCATTCCTCTTATTAGCTGCTAGGTTGATAGCCAGAGCAATCAGTTCAAGGTCAATACGGTCTCCTGGGCACTCTAACATCATCTGCATCATCTAACATAACAATATTTATTGGTAGCTGGTAAGAACATTTTATGTCAATATAAGAGCGACAAGAAAAACTACATTAGAACCTCAATATAACAAAGGGCCAATTCCCAAGGGACTGACAAAATTTTTGCAGTATAATATAACAAGGTTTCCTGGGCTTACAAGTATCAAGGTTATAATTTACAGAGGCTCATTTTAACGAGGTTCCATTGTAGTATCATATTCATAAATATGACTATGCTTAACAAGGAAAGATAAGGTTTCGTTGCAGGAACAAGCTGCTTTTTTAAAAATCTATCACCTAATGAAGCAGTGATGACACCAAGCCAGATGACCATACTTCATTCAGTCTGTAGCTGGTGTCAACAGGCCATCTTGAACATTTCCGATTGCCTCTTTCAACAATACACTAGAGGTCCCATTTTCAGTGATTTAATGACACTTTCTTGGGAGTTTGGTAACAGGCTGCTAAAAAGTGATGGCCGCTTAATAAATGAGGCAGCTTGTGTATAATTTTTTTATTGCACTCCACAGTTGCAATACACCAAGTTGTAATCAAGAGTTAAATACCACAACTGAGCAAAAAATACTCCAGTCACTTAATGCAAAGCTCAGTAAGGTAAGGTGGCAGATGGTGTAGAAGTTAAGGTGCTGTGGTCAGTTAGAAGGAAGCAGCAAGCTGAGTCTATAATGATTAAGAAACATAATTCTTTAAACTTACATTAGGTATACAATCTGTGTAGGTGAACATAGACTTGAAGCGATCATCCATACTGATGTGGTAGAGTATACAAAGAACTACAACACTGTGGACTTCATTGGCTAGGAAAGAGAAATAGAACACAATTTACAAATTTGGGTGAAATATAAATATACATTGTAACTGACACACTACAGAGATGATGACGTGTTTAGTCCTGTAGTGGGGAGTTCAAGTTCATGTTCTGCTTAGGGTTAGCGTTAGGTAACTTTGCGCACAGATCAATATTTTAGCCATGCAAAACATGAGTCACAAAACTGCAAAGCAAAAGAAAGTGTGTCCTCCATCCCCATCCCTTTTTCCTACAAGTGAGCATGTTCACAGCTAACTTGTCTTCCAGTCCTTGTATCTCCTGTCTATGGTGACTGTTAACATGTTATCAGTTTGAGTTGTTATAGAGCTAAAAAATTCTTCCCAAAAGCGCACACTCTAATTGGTTACTAAATCTCTCAGCGAGCAACATTGCAAAATCTATGATTTCAGAAGGTAACAGTGCACTGTTACCTGTGAATGTTGACCGACGACTGCCGTTACAGCAACGTCTTATGAATTTCCAGCTTCAAAATTTCCATTTCGGCTCAGCCTCAGGAAACTATGAGATTCTCGGGAAGCAAAATTAACTGTTTCCCTTGGGACCAGTCATTAAGTGTTTATTATTTGCCCTGCTTGTTCATGTACATGTACATGTATGATGTTCAAACTAAGTATTTTTTTCATTACAATGAGTAACAATGAGTAACAATAGTAAATGCCACGTAAACAGTTCTGATAACAAAGAAGTTTAAAACTTACAAATAAGCTGGACTAGTTTTGGAAGAAGTCCTGCTTTCACTGCCTTAGCTCTCAAGTCAGTGTCAAATGAAAGATTCAGAAGCAAGCGAAGAGCAATGTTTAGAAGATCCTACAACAGAACATAAAATGAATTATGAAATCACAACTGTGATTACATACTATCATACAAACACACCTCTTAACCAATCAGAATGTGCAGAATACATTAGTTACCTCATTAGAGTGAGGAATTAAGTTGGCAAGTTTCTCTAATATCCCACACTCAGCCTGTGGAAACAAAAAGCCAAAGTTAATTGGTTTATCTTATGATTTTATGTCTTCAAATTTTAACTGCCTTTTAAAAGTTCTCTACCATCACAAAACTGTAAATTTATTACCCCTTGGAAAGAAAAAAGCTGAGATCCAAAAGACCCTTTTATATAGAAAAATAGCACTTTATTTATTTTATTTTATTTTTATTTTATTAGCTTTGCCCTGAAGAATACAAAAAAACAAAAAACAAAAATAAAACACTGTAGATATGCAAACACTAGTAATAAGAAGGTAACAATACACTAAAAATAACTTAAATATTAGGGCAGGGACACCGCAACAGCTAAAGCCAATTACTGTGGACCCAAGCCTTATAGTTATTGCAATTATAGTTGTTGCAATTACTCACCATTTCTGCTTTGTTTTCAACAAAAATGCTCAGCTTTTTCAAGAACGAGACAACAAGAATCAGAAGATCAACATTGTCCCTTTCCAACAATCGGACCAACATAGAGACGATCTTTTTGTTCTTCATCTTCATCTCAACCTTGGCATCTTCAGCTAAGTTCAAAAGGAGGTACGACAAAACTAAAGAGAAAACAAAGAAGAAAAAGATTTACCACAGTCACTAGAGCACTTGAGGAGGTTGTGGGTTTGATTCCCAAGGCCAGACTACTGGGGTTAAAAAAAAAAACAGAAAGGGAAGGTATTGCCTAAGTTTGCCCTGCACTTGGCTAGATCTTCACATGACTTCGATGACCATGTTAAATGGCAGTTTCCCATCTCCCGTAGGATACAAAAAAAATAGTGCCCTCAATTAGTTTGATATATTATTATTGTATGCTAAATTACATTGGCAACCTCAAATAAAGTGCATTTGTTTTAAATCAAAAAAACTACTTGAGTTTCAATCCCTTATGCTCCGGGATAGTGCATGTGTTTTTGAAAAGCGCAGGAACAAAACATCAACTTTAACTTCACGGCATTACTATCACTGTTATTTTTTATACTTACCTCTCAGAAGCTGCTCCTGCTTCTTCACAAGACCAAGAAATTTCTTGTACCCTTTTTCATAGTCTTTTCTGTTGTCACGTAAAGAGGTCAAGGAATTAAATTAACTAGAAAATCAACGTGTGATAACGAAAATAAGAGTGGGAAAAAACAAGGGGAAAGATGTTTACAAGACCCTGGCCTGCAATCATGCCCTCCCTATATCTCTACAGTTCTCTTGGCAGAAGGAAGAAAATATTTGCTTGCAGGTTAACAGGACATAATTCTCTTTGCGATACAGACAGCGTCAAAGCTTAACAATGCCATTGTAACTTAGAGACCCTCGCCAATCATTTCTGTCAAAAGGATATTGTTTTTCTTCTTCTCCAGCTCAGCGGACCACTGGTCATATCTCTTAACTTCATTTTCCATCACCTGCATGCACATAGCACCAATCTTTTGATGAATGATGATGGAGTGAAACTGGGAAAAACTTGAAAAACAGAAGAAGACGTACACGATGTTCGTCGTTAGCTCTGTGCTTTTTCTCCAGTCTTCTCGCAAAACCCTGGAAAGGGCCCCTAACACAGGGTCTGAAAAAAGGGCAGAATTAAACCTAAGCCTGAAGGGAAACATATAAAACTGACTTTCTTTGCTGTGTGCCATTTTTTATATTTTTATATATATATATTTTTTACACTTCCAGATTACAAATTAACATAGATGTAGTTCCAGTTTCACTGTTTATCCTGCAGGATGTTAACACAACAGAAAAAAAAGATAAGAAAACAGATCTTGATTAATCGATAATCGTACCATTAGTTGCAAGCTCCTCCAAGTTGTCAGGGTTTCTGGATAGTTGTAATATAAGGGCAGTTCCTCTTATCTTCTCAGGAAGGTCTTCATACAGCAACTCCACATATTCCTCTATGTCATTTATGTTTGCTTGCTCATCGAGCTAGGGAGCAGTCAACAAAAGTATAGCAATAATTAACACTGGAATGAACTTCTTTTGAATTACATGACCCACTTTCCCATCAGAACTCATACCATCTTTCATGTAATATATCAGGCATGAAACGTAGTGTTTCATCACAAGATGAAACACTGACTCATCAGAAGAGAGTTGAAAATATCACACAGAGAGGTGCATTTTTGAAGAACTTCAAGGAGTTTCATCTGGTGATGAAACACTGTGTTGAATGCTTGATATTAGTTCTAAAACAAAATGATTTTAGAGAGAGAAATTTGTGATGCAAAAATGAGCAGTTTTCATCTGATTTCCAAATACTCATTACACATTAATTTCCTTTGTATTTGCTTCATGGATAATTATTAAAGAGCTTGAAAAGTAAATATTTACATGTACCTTCCAGTTCCCACACAAGACCTGGACTATCAACCCTCAAAGTTAAAGTTTTTGCTTGGTCGCCATTTGCCAACCAACTCTTTTTGTTTAGGGAGACTGTTTTACAAATCAAGGTGCCAGCTCCAAAATTCTAGGTGCCATGGCAACCAAAAAGGTCGCAACTTGGAGGGTTAACTATACCCATATTTACCCAGATCTATTTACCTCAGTGCCCTCAAAATCAGCAGCAGCATTCCTTAGAGTGTCAGCCTTCTCTTTACCTAAAAGATGTAAAATCAATTATAGCAATCAGTCTAGATAGGCTTTCTGACAGGGAGCAAAAAATAATGGCAAATTAGAAGGTCACAATATTTGGCAAGAAAGGTCAATTATGCAGCAGATTATCTGATTGTTCTAAATCTAAAATTAATGTCACATAGACCCAAAATTTATACAGTCAAACATTTCCTAATTTCTCCAAATTTATTTGTCCTTCTATTGTGTTTAAAATCGATGTTCTACATGATGGTATGCCTTACATAGTGATTATGATAAAAACTGGTTTGAAAACTAAGGAAGAAATAACTAGTTTCACCTACTTGCTCATTTAAGGGACCTTACCATTTCTGCGTAATGTTGACTGTGTATAGTTTAATTACCTTTCGATTTTCCAGCTCCTGTATCTTTTCTGTTCTGTAAATAGTACAACAACTGCTCGACTTCAGGGAGCTTGGTGGGGTGAATTAGCTTGCACTTTTCAATTACTTCTGAAGCTAGCTTTGCTATATTGGTTGTGGCATTTAGGCTCTGTAAGCGAATTCTGTTGAAAATTGACAGTATTGTAATGGTATACAGCCCATCCTCATTGTACAGTGCCTTTTCATTAGTGACCTCCTCCCACAAATGACCTCTTATCCAAAACACTGAAATTTCCCTACTCAAAGCCTTATAGTCAGAACCTCTTGAGAGTGACCACTAGACAAACAGTCGGACGTCGATCCTCACCTGGCCGGATGTACATGCTCTAATACTACTCAGAGTAATGAGGAACTTTCAGTGACAACCTAGCATTGCTGATATTGTAATAAGCAATGAATGAAAGCACAGTTGAGGTGTTTGGACCAATTTCCAGAAGAAACCTTCAGTGCGGAGTCAGAGTCAGTCATAATCAGAATTATGGTATATAGCAATTATGATATAGTGAAAACGTTCGAATTCCATGTACCACTCTGTTGCTTACAATCTGGTAATAAGTTGTTGCATTCTAGAGGAAAAGTGGAAAAACTAAACCAATCACCCAAGTGTGGATACTACTGTTGTTATTGGTTTATCCCTCTACTTCTGATTCAAACTTTAACAATTTGGTTTTCTATAGATCTTACGCAATCGAGTCAGAAGAAAATGATAAAGTTATCTGATTCTGTCGCGACTATGATTCTATTTATCACTCCAATTTTTGATTTTCGCTAGGTCATAAGCAGTCTTACCAGATCACGTGGGATTAGCTCAGTCAGTATAGAGCGCTTGACTGCAGAGCGGGAGGTCGCGGGTTTGATTCCTGGGGCTGGACCAATGCTAGGTGTCTTAAAATAACTGAGAAATAAGGTACTCCCTTTGCCCTGCAAAAGGCTAGACCTCACGTAGCTCGGATGACCATGTAAAATGGCAGGCCTGTCTCCAGTAGGAGACGTAAAAATAGTGTCCAATTAGTACTTTCATGCTAAACACATTGATACTCAATAAAGATGATTTTTTTAACTATAAGGCTTACGAGTACCTACAACATTTCTAACGGGGAGCATTCCCTCCTGCAACAAAGGCTATGTATATCACAGGAAAGTTCAGAGGGAGATAAAGAATTGAAATATAACCGAAACCTACTGAAATCTGCTTTAATACACCCTAATTCAATGGTATCAACCACTGGTCACTAACACAACGGCAATTTATACAATCTCAGCCACCCGATTCGTAGCTAGGAAACGGGATAACGCTTAGAACGAGAAATATCTCTGGCGATATATCAGTCCATCAGTAAGAGATGTGCAGACTCGCAAAAATCATCGAGATTGTTACACGGCATTCATTCACTCACTTTGCTTTAAGTGTCAACTACTAACAAATGTCTCTAACTAGGTTTATATTATTTTTACTTACAAAGCAAACTTACACTTTCTGACATTCCTTCCGTTCGCCCAACATGGGCTCCCCCATCTCTCCCAGAATGACTGCTTCCAGCTCATAATTCACAACGATAGCTTTTTCTGTTGGATGGGCATCGATGCTTCCTCCTTTCACCCTCCTACGTAAGATAAAAAACTAAGATCTAACTAAGGGGAATCTCGCAAGAAGCTGCAGTGACGAACAAAATCTCCGTCGTCGGCAAAGATTGCTAAACGTAGGTTTATTTCTATGACAGTCGTTGTAAATTTACCCGAAAATTACTCACCTCTTTAAGTATCGTGCCTCTTCCTGCATTTTTCTTTCTGTAGAAACTAGAACATGTTTCCCCAGAGTTGTAAATAAACCTTCTCTGACATTGGCACTACAATCTCAATCGCTTCAGCTGCCATTTTCAACTAATGAAGTTCGTATGGAACGCTGGGAAACCATTCGACCGGTAGATTCCCTGGGCGGGATTACTGGACTCGTGGAAAAGGGAACTACAGTCGAAACCCGCTTTACGGACACCTGCTTGTCACGAGTCTCACGATTTCACGACCTATCTCACGCTCATGATTTCTCACGCCTTGTCGAAAATTCACACTCCAGAAAAATTGTGGAGTTTTTCCAAGTTAGATATCAATAGTTAGCCATCTCAATCCATATTCTTTCAGCCTACCGCGGCTTGCGGTACCAAATGTGCACCCTGTTTTTCTTGTTTAAAGATGGCAGCCAACAAAACATAGCAATTACAAAATCTTAATCTTGAAATTGATCGTAATGACTGCTGTAACTAAAAAGTGACATGCATGATCCCCTCTGTAAGTCCTTCCGCTAGGAAATTTGAGACATCTCAAGACTTTTACCCATTTCTCACTTCTTTTCCCAGCTCTAGATTCAGAATCTCCCCGGGGGGTTCTCCTGGAAATTCTTAGTGGGGAGCGCCGCCCGGTCCTCCAAATCCTGACCCTTCTTCATACCAAAAAATGCCATTTTCCAAATCCGTTTTCAGACCTGGTCTCTAAAATCCATACCCATTTTAAGACTTGGCTTCTTAGAACCCCAACAAAAAGTTTTCTTAAAATCAATTTCGGCTTGTTATCTCTCCCTCTCCCCAGCCTTATTTTTCGGAGGAAGAGAAGCGACGACCGGAAATACGTCTGCGGTTCGCAGGCTATCGCTCGCCTCAAAAACGCGAAAAAATAACGCTTTTTATGTAGGCTACCTGCCGAGGAGTGGCCAACAGGAAAACTCGCCATCACTTAGCCACTTGGACCAACTCGACTCGAAGCAACATCTTTTAAAATTCTTTTACAATGTAGTGACCAATTGATCTTATAAACTCGGTGCTTTATACGGTATAAAAGCAAATTTTTTATTCACAGGTTACATTGTTGGTATGCAACTATTTACATAACTTCTTTTTATGAGTCTCTCTCCGCGTTAACGGAGGAAGGGTATAGCAGGAAGAGCTATCCGGACAGCAGGCATGCCGGCATAGCAAATTCCAATTCAATCAGGGAATCGAGAGAAGCAGTCGAGGAACTGTTATATAGGTGATTGAATTTAAAGTTAAATGCCGCGAATCGCATAAAACACATCAAGTCGACGGTTTAAAGGTAAACAGGAGTGTATATGTTCAGGCAACTTCTTAGGGTGTAGGAGCGTGGCATCTATGTCTGGTTGCGAGTTGACCAAGCGGTTTATAAGGAAACATTCAGTCCATCTTGGCATGCATAGCAGAAAAGAGGAAATGAGGAAAAACATAGTCGAGCTAGAGGTGCACTTAGGAGACGACCTTCGCCTAACAGGATTCGGATTCGCAGGCGTTTACACACATCAGTAAATCTGAGAATACTCCAATACAAAGTATTCATTTTAGATTCAGGATTCATTTTCTCCGGACTCGAACATCTGCGTGTAAAATGAATCCTGTACCAATATGCAAGTTAAATGTTCCTGGTTCGTCAAGAATCCGGAAAAATCTCTTCTAGTAGAAACCTTAGAACCAGCCCACTCACTCAACCAAGAGTCTAAAACGTTAGAGTACGCTTTTATAGAAACTTTTAAAAATCCATTACATTTTTTCCAAAAGCCTCGGCCAGCGTTTGCTTTGAACTAAATGAATTACATAAACCCTCACTATAGAGAATACTAGTTTTTCTCTTTTATTTCCTATACACTTTGTTCACAGACTACAACAGTTTCATCGTAGAAAATTTACCTTTCTTTAATCGAAGGACCTAAGCTTGGACGACCAAGCCACACCATTATCAACAAGCACCTTACTGCCTTAATAAATTATTCTCTAGAGTCTTTCTAAGGGGAGAATGAAATTCTGCACTTAAGAAAACGACCGTCTATCATATTCATCAAGCGCCATGGCTCTTGTATTCATTTATCAGTGCGTATGTCAGCGAATGCTTCTGATTCCAGCGATGGCCATCATAATGCGATCCTCCACGCTGAGATCGGTAGCAACCTCGTGGAACCTAAAAGCAAAAAATGTGTAAGAAAAGAATCTCAAACGTCGAACTGCTTTTCGTTGTTAAACTATTCCGTTTAATATTGATCGCTCACTGCTTGTTTTCTTCAGGCAAAGAGCAGCAATAAATGGTCTAATATTATAGTCGCGATAAAGAGTGACTATCATGACAAACGATAAACAAAACCTATCAAGAATCAACTACATGTAATAACCTGGAAGAGAGGTTAACTTACTTATCGGGAGATGCTTTAAGTAAGGCGTTTATATGCATCAAGGTTTGACTTGGAGTCACCTCAAGAGCTTCCAACACATTGCAGAAGTAATCTAGGAAACGAAAATAAAATATCAGCTCAATCTATTATTTTACTGTTTTTAGGTCATGTCCAAACGGGTGCGCTAAAATTGAAATTTACACCTCTGCCATGATGGCTATTGACACAAAAACAATATTGACTACGATGATCAGTCTCTCTTTTTTCTCAGTTCGTGGAGCGAAACGCGGGCGTGAGACACGAAAATGGACAAGTGCGTGACTGAACGCGCGAGACAGCAGAACCGCTGCTGCCATCATTTGTCGCGTCTCGCGTGCGCGTGCACTTTCCCCTCTCTAAATCTGAAGGAAGAGAGAGACTGCTTGCGGTTTATTAACGTTTTTCTTGCGCATCAATTTCCACGTGTTCAAACGTAATTAAACGGACTTGCTTTCAAGAAATGCGATGCAACTTCCAATGACAACCTAGGCATTTGTACCAAGCCGTTATTCTATAAACTAAATTTGATTTTGAGATGACATTAAGGCTTTATAACGAAGGCTATAGCCAGTTGGGAGAAAACTGACTGAGTGGAATATGCGACAATTTTCCCACCTTTTTTACTGTCAGAGGGCAGGCGTCACGGTACTTTGAGAAGTATTCCAACGCTTTTAAGGTCAGATTCGCATCTACTTACTATAATGTAGCTTACATGAGACGGTAGTTGCTAGGCGGATTGCAAAACAGTTTTCAAGTGTATTAACATTGTATAAGCTCGTATAGTAGATGTTCACACACCTATATCAGCCAAGAGCTGTTGGGTTGAATAAGGCGTTAGTTCGTGAATCCGAAGAATACTTTCCGTGTAAGCGTGCATGGTACCACGGGCGATAGAACCAAGCCAGTACGATCCGGGGTGGTGTTCACTTTCATCTGTAAAAAAATTAAACACAAGTCACTTGTTTCCCTTGAATTAAGGAATAAAACTTACAAAGCTGCATTCTATGGATCTTTGATCCACTAAAAATGTTGCCCAAAAGAGCCCGACGAACCGAAGAAACAGGTCACATCTCGGACTTTATTTCAGTTCCGAAATAACCGCCGTTTGATTAGCTCAGTCGGTTGGGAGAGCGCCGGTCTGCTGAGCGGGAGGTCGCGAGTTCAAACCCCGGCGGGACCAACACTCAGGATTTTTAAACAACTGAGAAAAAAGTGCTGCCTTTGTAATGACACCTGCAAACGGTTAGACGTTCTAGTCTTCTCGGCGATGAGGACGAAAAATCATAGGTTTCGTCTCATAGCACTTTTACTTATCTGGTTCTTGTGGGACGTAAAAGGACCCAAACCACTGTTCGAAAAGAGTAGGGGACGTAGACCCCGGTGGTGGGGCCAACCTTTCTTGGGCTGGGTGGGTTATCGGTAAGGAGAGATCTTAAGATAGGGATAACCTCATGATCATAATGGCTACCTGTAAACAGCGTATGCACCATGTAGAGACCTGTAACATGCAGTAAATCGTACTAACCTTCTAGATCTGGGAAAGGCAGATTGCCAGCTTTCATAGCCACTTCCAGCGCAGGATTCTCTTGTGTTATGAACGGTTCCAGTTGTTGAGGAAGCGTCAACAGGTAATCACCAATCTGACAATGATAAAACAACAAAGAGTTAAAAATAAACACAAATCAGACAAAGAAAATCTGACGCTTGTCATCTACTACCTTTGCTGAACGAGAAAAAACACCATTTTATTATCTTGCATCATATCGAGAAGCGAACTGCTCTGAAAGTAAGAACTGTCCAAGATCTTTCATTTGAAAGTCGACAGTTGTGTTTTTATTTCAATCCAAACTTTAAAGTTATAACTACCTCATGCAGCACAATACACAGCACCACAGCAAAGTAGTGTTCAGTAGCTTTTAACTGAATGGTCCCGTTTTTAAGCTACTAGAGACACCTTTTTACATTGTAATAAACGGCAGATAACACAGAAGAGTAATGCTCAGTAGCTCTCACTTGAAGGGTAACACTGAAGGATTTCATCCACAGACCCAAACGTTACAACCACCTTGCGCAGCACAATAAACACTCCCAAAGGAAGACAGTGCCCAGTAGCTTTCAATTAAATGGTTACACAATAGGGTTGATCCAGTTGATCCACAGACTCAAAAGTTAGAACCAGCTTGTGCAACATACGAACAACCACAAGAAAATGGTCAGGCTTAGAGCTTTTTATACAATGTTAATACTTCGACACAATTTCAGAGTGAAACTTGACAGTATCAAAGTTCAATTATGAGCTGAAAGGTAGCACACTACGTTCCATCAGTGGACTAGAGAGTCTGTAGTTTCATCGTTTGTTCTTTGACATCTAACAGGACCCATGGGGTAATCGCTATGACGGATTATACGGGGATGTGCCGCAAAAAAAGGGTTCAGTTTTTAGGCTAGTGGTACATTAAAGGGCAGGGGTTTCAAAAGCCATCTTGACAGAAAAGGGCGTGAGAAATAGTGTTTGTCTACGTTAACGTGTAATTTCGATTGACCCTATTCTGAAAAAAATATGAATTGTAAACTAAAGCTTCACTCCTGACGATTCTACTGAAAAAAACTGAGGTTGTTACATGCAGTTACATGCGCTAGAACCACTTTTCAAAATTTTCCATACATTTGATCTAAAAATTTCTCTTCCTGCCAACTAAAATTTCCCGGGGAAAATTGCAGACAAATATACGGAAAATCTAAAGGAAGCGTCTAGAGAAATTTAAGCACGGTAACGGCCCCCAAAATTTGTTGGTAAAATCCTTTGCTGTGTAGCTTTAGTTTACAATTCATATTTTTTCAGAACAGCCGTTTTACGGAAATTTTTGGACATTAGATTCTCATACAAACACTGTAATTTCTCACGTGGTTGCCTACTCGTTAAGATGGCTTTCAAAACCGTGACAAGGACAATTTCAAAAGCTGAGGTACAGAAAAGGGTAGGGAACAGTTGGTCTACATTAGGGTACCTTCGATTGACCCTATTCTGGAAAAGGAACACATTGTGGATTCGCATTCTATCGCGACTCGCTTCAAGACCCTGCAAAATGCAACATCCCCGTGCAAAACTTTACTGAGTACCCCCACCCGGCCTTCCCCCCCTAAGGATTAGAACATCGAAGCAAGAGCCACTTACATGTGTAATATACCCCAGTGGTGACAAGCTAAATGTTGGGAGATCATCGCTCAATGCCGCACCAGATTCAGGGCACTGGGCCGACCAAACCTAAATGACAAAGCAAAATATACGTCACATCAGAGAAGAGCAGGTTTTAGTTAATCGTCAAACAAACTGAAAACTAATATTATTACTTTGACCCACAGATACAGACACATACCTCTGACAAGCGTCAATTAAGCGCAAAAAACGCCGTAAACAGCTTTGGCTTAAATGTACTATCTGTATGGTAAGTTTGGGTCTCAAGAAAGTCCACCGTCAGGTGTGTTTGAGCACTAAGTACACATGAGGACACTTCTTTTCACATCTGCTGCTGGAGACGCGACCGCCATTTCTACGTGATCATCCGAGCCACGTTATGGTCTAGCCGTTGGCAAGGCAACGGAATTACCTTCTTTCTCAGTATTTTTAAGAATCTGAGTATTGTTTCGGCCACGACAATCGTACCCGCGATCTCCCACTCTGCAACCCAGCCCTCTACCGACTGAGCTAATCCTCCAAACAGTATAACTAGTGGACTATACCCGAGCAAAAGTTGATGGAAGACTGCAGAACGTTTCAAATGCCGCCAATATCTTTGAGTAACTTAACCCAATCATAAGAACTAGAAGGTCGATTTCAAAAGAAACAAAACTGTACCTGAAGTTTAGGTGTTCGGGCAAGCTGCTGTCTGATCTGTATGAATACGATGTCAAAAGCAAATGTATGAACTCGCTCGTTCAAAGCTTGGAGCTGCTCAAAGACACTTGTCAAGACAACTGCAGATTCACCAGCTAAGAACGAAAAACTCATGTAAGCTAGCGAGCTAACAGCTGCCCCCCGATGGTGAAATAAAACAGTATTTTAATAAGCGAAGAGGCATACTTTGGGATTTAAACACTCTGACTGGCATATTTGGGAACTGGAGGGAAGCCTCGTATATGGGACTTCAGGAGCTTTCAGGCCTAGATCCTTCCTATGTGATTGCTACGATCACAGTGATCTTAGCAATCACATTGAAACCAGCCTTAGAGCAATTACGCCGGAAGGTAGCAAGAAAAAAAAGGGCCTTCCGGGGAGAAAAGGGAAGGGATCATGTTCCTTGGTATGCAGTTTCCTAAAATAAATTGAAGTTTCTTCTAGCCCCCACCCCCGTCCCCCACAACAAAGAGTAAACATTTCCTTACATATTTTTCCTAAAAGTCAATTCGGGACATACTTCAGGATATCCCTCGTTCCCTAAGAGTAAAACCCTTCGGGTCCCCTCTGAATTGGACAAAACAAACAGCGTTGCACGTGCGTACACTTCTTTTCGATAAGTTAATGCAAAATATCGACGTCCAATTGAAAGATAAACGATATTTTGAAAAATACGAACACTGCGATTAAAATCGTCTCTTATTGGGCTTCACAGCAACCCTATGAATACAACTCCTCGATTTACTTCATAAGTAAAATTCAACAGGCTGAAACAACTGTGCAAGACGTTTAAAGATCGCGTATTCAATGTTGTCAGTGACCTATTCCTTGGCCTTTGCCAGCCTGATTTTTCACGGTGTCTACTTGCCATGATTATAGATTACCTGTTTGCAGTTTCTGCTTCAGTTCATTTAATGCACTTGATTCTGTAGGTCTTTCATTTTGCAGATAATTGTACCAAGGAAATGGTCTGGAGGGAGTGGATGGTTTATCTTCATTTATTGTGTCATGTTCTTTGTTATCCCCATTCGAATAAAGGATCGCAGCCAGTAATCGCTTGTCTAGATTCTCCATTTTGAGTAGCAAGTCACCTAACAAAAATTAAAAAGGTAAAACATTGAATTTATCAGATTAAAAGCAGAATTTAAGTAAAAGAGGAGGATACCACAAATTGCGCAGGCTTATATATACAACTTCGATATGGGAGTCTTGGGGTTAGAAATATAGTGCAAACTTCTGTTTGCCAATGACCTCTTCTGGCATTTTAAGAGCCATTAGTAATAAGTGATATGTTCAAGAAGTTACCGTTGAATGTATTATACCGATAAAATGAAGTATTTGATTGCAAACGAAACGCAGAAGAAAGGGAGATAATTATTATTGGAGAACTGGGTGGGGTAGGGGTTATAACTCACAGTTCACAGTATATCGACCTCTGTTCGAGCACAGGCAGCCCAAGCTCAGTATGAGAGTTTTTAAACTCTCGTACTCGCTAAAATTTTCAATACAATACACCTTACCTTATTTACTTTGCTTGTTTTTGTTTACTCTGGGTTAAAGGAAATCGCTTAAGTCGCAATGGAGCGGGAAAATAACCACACAGCAAGCAAAATGTACGTATTAGTGATTAAACTCTCATAGCAAGCTTAGGTGGCCTGTGATTCGAGAGGTAATCTGGTGATCAGGCCAGGAGGTAGCTCTACGTGGAAGATTTCATTGAAAAAAGTGGGCCTCATACAAATGATAGGTACTTGCCTACCAGAAGTTGACTTGGGAAAAGACACCAGAAAATCTACGTTATCCTTTTCCAGCCAAAAATAGCTTTATACAGGTATATAAAAACGAGCTCTCCTACAAACGCCTGCGTGGGAGGCTAGTATATAGCATGCAACCAATTCCATATACATTGTAAAACTAATGGCAGACGAGTTATTTACCACATATCTGGATGAGACGGAATGCATTCTGAAACATTGTCCAGTCCTCGCTGAGTCCTTCAGTGGATTGAGTGTCTGTCTTAGAATCAAGATCAAGAGCACATTCTTTTCTTAAAATTGAAATACATTCATCCATCCGTCCTGCATATGCTCTAAAGAACTCCTGCATAAAGAACACAATTAAATCAGGAAAAATTTGTAATTGGATTATGATTAAATGATTATTGACTGTTTAGCCTGCGAATACAGTCACAAGTAGGCATGCACGGTAATGAGAGGTGGCTGTATTCACGAGCTACCCAGATTTGACATCACCACTGAAGGCACTCATCCACTTTGTCACCCCATTTTTTCATTTTCCTTGAATGATGTTTGTTTTACATTCCTTTCCTGACTGATCAGCTTAACAAACAACACGAAATTTATCAGTTGCGAGTTGTTCATTTGTTGTTCATGTTCTTTCCACAAACAGCATTTATTTGCTTCAATGTCTGATTGGTTAATTGTATCATTTTCGTATTCTTTGACTGGCAAGAGTAATAAATTATTTTTGTTTTCTTTACGAAACGCAGTTGGCACCGCTACGATGGCTTAATTACCCAAGGCTGTGCTCTAGCAGAACTCGGTGGCCCAAGGCGCCTAACTTTTGCTCCTGGGTGACTAGAAAATCTTACTTTCTTCATCAACTTCAAAACCAACTTCAACTTTCTTATTAAAAATGGTATAACAATAGACTGGCCCGCAATTGCTAATCTACGCGGCCCAATTAAAAGAAAAAATAAAATGAAAAGAAAGGAAGGAAAATTAAATATTTTTAGTTACAATGATTCTTATTTCTACCATAATTTTATTTTAATAACCATTGCATCTAAGGAATAACGAAAAAGGAATTGAAGGAGAGTAGAAAGCATATAAATTTATACAGAATTAAATCCAAATTTTTAAATTACCAATGGCGTCTCAATATAGTCACTTTCTCTTTTTAAGATATCGGAAAGCAATCCGTGAAGTAGTTTCGTAAATTCATTTTATAAATCACAGGTTCAAGGGTCTGAGCTATCTTCAATTTTTCTGATAGCACAGCCTAGTTACCTCTCATGGAACAACCTCAGTTATAACAAACGACATTTTCAATAGAACAGTGTTGTTTGAAATGGTAACAACTACTTAATATTCACCTCCAGAACATGGCAAAGCCCACGAGTTGCATAACCATCGGTGAGATCAACACAATACTCAACGGCCTGCAAGATTAAAATATTTATACTAATCAACTGACTAGCAACTGAAAAGATTCAAGTAAGGAATTCGTTTCCCTAGTGACTTAAATAAGATTTTGCTCTTAATTTGTTTCCAGTGGTGGGTCCAATCTCAGTCCCCGACTAACTGCTGCCTGGGTGCAAATATAGACGTTATGGGCTGTTCAAGCTAAGTTTCTCTTGTCCGCTAGCCTCTGCTTTTAGTAGCAAGTGAGTCGTTTGTTCATAATGCTCTGGAGAACGAATAAGCCCATTGTATGTCACAAGAAATACATCTGATTTTAAGAAGAGCTAAAAAAACACAAGAGCGGAAAAAAAGAACTCAAAAATGGCCAGATCTGCGAATTAAATGTAAGAAACAAGCGTTTAACAGTAGAACAGATAAAAAGATGAAAACAAACCAATTAATAGTAACAAATACAAATTACATCACACTGCGAATGCCACAGTTTTTGATGGAAAATATGTTTAGGATGTGGGAAATCAAATGACATTTTGTTTTTGTTGGGGTGGTGGGCAGGACAGTTTTGAGCCTATGCTAAAGGAAGAGAGCTGCTTAAGTTTTCAGTAATGATAGAAGAGATGAAATAAAATTACCTGTTCAGAAAGAAGAAAAATTTTCTCTACAGATTCTGCCATGAGCCCTGCAGTCTCCATGAATCCATCTGCATGCTGTATGATGACATGGAAAATTAGACAGAATCAGCAGTTGAACTATGATTACCGGTATCCCCTCATCATCATCATCATCATCATTATCACCACCGTCATCAACATCGTCATCGTCATCATCATCACTATTTAGAGTGCTCACTCTTGGGATAGTTAGTCAACTGTTAATAGTTACTAGTACTGAAAATACTGGGTTTGGGCAGAAAAAATTGGACAACCTCTAGTCACAGGGCTACTCCTATGAAAAGAAGTTTTGGTGAGACAAGTTGAGAAACAAATGGAGAATTCATTGATTCCTAAATAAATCGCCATCATCATCGTGCTCCTCATCACCGTCACATCATTACCTCACCATTGTCACTGTCAATATTATCAACGTCACCACTGCCAATCATCACCGTCCAAGAAAGTCCCACGTTACAGAATTGCAGATGGCGCTATGAAGGTGCACAGAACCTCTGTGTGACCTGATGATAAGTTGTCATGTAATGTTGTAAATGATTTGGGTGATACCTACCAACCGAGTTGCCTGCAACTGCTCTGTGAGAAAGGTCTGCTGAAGTGTTGGATAATCCAACAGGTATGGAACATAGGGAGAATAAACTACATCAACCACCACATTGACAGCTTGTGTACTGCATTTATCTACAAGACAACGATAAGAGCGAAATTGCAAAATATGGCAATGAAAAGGTACTGACTGACATCCTAATACAACAGTATATATTAAACAGCTGAATGAAAATCACAGCATTAGATTTTAGTCATTTAAATCTACGTGAACAATGTCAGTGTTGCAGGTACCCATCTGGGGAGTGATTATTTAAGTTCACCTACGTGTTTTTTTAGTGGATTATACTAAATTGCAGTCACTATATAAACAATCTCAAGAGTTAAGGTAACATCATTTTACAGAGAAATACAAAAGTGTTTCGAAAAAATTGATAGCCACCTTGCTGTTGTGAAACTGCCTTTTCTAGACCATGTGCAAAGCGCAGCGTCACCTGGGAAAAATTGCAAATAATTAATTTTAAGACAAATCAATCCAATGTATGTTTAGAGAGGTTTTCACTTGACTGTCGAAAGGGATTGGTTTTGGTTTTGGTTTTGGTTTTACTGCGCCCTTTGGTTGGCTAGTGTATTTACTTTGGTTTTGGTTTTACGACAGTCAAGTGAAAACCGCTCTATCATAAAGAACAATAAAGTCAGAGTCTTCAAAGCTTTTTGGCTGAATGCCTCGGTTGTAAATTTCAGCTGACCTCATAGGAGAGCATCCCCCCCCTCCCCCCATCAAAGATATCTGGAATCTGAACCATTCAATTTTTGAAAAATTTGTCATAAGGTTCCAAATGTTGTTGGAGACTTTGAAGAACACCCCAAATCTAAAATCCCTGCCAGCCTTTAGGGTGAGGGAATAAAAAAATGGACCGTCCTACTGTTTGTTTTTTTTTTTCAGGTTCAGACCATAATACATAATACAGGATTTCAGTTATTTATTTTGACCTAATGATCTCGTCTCACCTGTCGCAGCTCAATCAACTTTTCTATGATGTTGGACTCATTCTTAACAAACTCTGTGATACATGAAGAGAGTGATGGATCTAGGTGAGTGAGTGTTTGAGTGATCAGTGTGCAGAGCACGGTGCCAGGATCACTGAAAACTTGACCACACCATGTCACCTGTGAAAACAAAAATAATATTCCCAAAATTACATTAAACTTCAACATCAAAACATTTTGTCACTCATACATCCACTCATGCATACATGTCAGTGTACTTTGATTGACGTAACGACAGAAGAAATTTTACTGAGTGGTGAGAATGGCACCTTTACTAAGTAACATACATTTGCTTTATTGTGTATTACCACTGTGTTCAGTATAGAAAATTCTAAACCTCAAGAGCAAAATTTGAGACAAAAAACAAGTATTTTGTCCAAACGTGATTAAACTTCATCAGCATTGTGAAGTGACAGGTTGCATAACAGAAAAGCTGAACATTATATAACCCAAAGAGAGGGTTGTAAATTGCTGGTAGGTCCAGTCCCTCATCCCTATTCAGAGAGGGTTTTTTTGGTTTATAGCAATGGCCTCCTTTATGCTCTTCACAACGCTTATGAAGTTCAAGCGATTCAAATGAAATATATTAGTTTTTGGTATACAATTTTGCTGTGAGCTTTAAAATTTTTTATTCGAAATGTCTTGGCATGAGCAGGTGAAAAACTTTTTCGCTAACATCAATGTGTTTGTTTTCATTGTGCAAAAGTGTTGAGAAATAAATACAATGCATCTACTATCACACTAAAAAAAAATCTTCTGTGAGTATCTGGGGCTTCCATGACAACTATGCATTGATTTTTGATGGTCGCTGTACAACCCTGTGTTTCTTTTACCACAAGGAGCAAATGAACAGAATGCAATGTTAAACAGTGTTTCAAGAACCAGTGTCATTTGTTCACATTGATGGTACCTCTGTGTGCCATGTGGAGAGTATAACATCATAGAATGTTGATAACCACTCCAGCATTGATCTGTTTGGATCCTCAGTGCGAACTTCACTCCAAGTCTTTTGAAGTTTTGCCTGTGGATTCAAATAAAATAAATAAATATAAGGAGGCAGAATATTTGATCATCCAGGTGATTGTAATCCTCAAGAGGATAATAATACTACATTGTTAAAAACCTTTCCAGCACTTTTATTGGAAAAACTACAAAAGTGTTATATCAGTTCCTTATAGGGAATGCATAGTTAACCATATAAACCTTGCCAAATAAACAGGGCCCTTGTGTATTATCGCGTATATTTTGTTGACAGAAGAGGATTCTTAAAGGCACTGTGTCACAGTATAAGTCTATTGGGTTTTTAGTATTGTTGATTTTCTTACTTAATGGAAGCTTCACATTAGCAAAAACCTCATAAAACTCATCTCATTTTTGTTTTCATTTTTCTTCTGTCTTACTTTTTAATTAGCTATTTTTAAAATGTTCTTTTGATCTCTGAACTGATTTTATTTCACGAAATTTGTTGGCCAGTTCCTAACAGCTGAATTTGACTTTGGCTATAAAAGTACTTGATGCAGCTCCTTTGATTAATGATGTCCATAAAAATACCGAAACTAATACTGTAACTTTTTAATTTTAGAAGTTTTGCACAGAGAGCTGCTTGAAAGTGATGTTAAATCAGGTCAGTCTCAGACAAGTCATTCAAATCACATTTTTGTTTTACATAATGTGAAACGACTGGTCATACTTGCCTTATGACATCTGATGTAATAATTCTGAAGTTGGTCTAGTCTTTCAATATTTGTAAATATTTTAACATATTCTTTGGTGTCATCTATGGAACAAAGAAAGAGGCAGGAAACATTGAAGCAAGTATTAGGCAAATATTGAGTGTAGTAATATTATTATTGGTAAATTAAAACATCTAAGATGAATGAGACACTCGTATGATATTCATTGAAACAGAAGTATTTTCAAATGTCCCACGTGCAAATAATTTAAAATAATATTATTTTGTTCAAACCAAACCAAAATACAGATAGATACTTAGACCATAGATTATTCAGTGTCCTATAACTTAATGTTATATTAAAACAACAGGACTTCAGGTAGAATCCACCAAATTCCCAATATAGGGGTTTGAATTGTTTGAATTTCCTGAATCTACATATTCAGTTGCTGATTCAAGTGAAAGTTTATTTTCACCCATACCATAACCAGACTTTTCCCGTCCATTTACGTTTGCCGGTCGAATCCAACAGCCCAATACTGCATGTCAGTGTTAGGAATTCGTCAGAATTTCAGATTTCAGTGGAATTCCATCATTGTCCCAACATTCTGAGATTCTCGGCTATTTGTCGTTTTCATTTGCAATTTTTACAAATCATTTTGTAACATTTAGAAGAAAAAGACCTTAAATACACTGCGTCAGTTTTCTTTAAATTTGAAAGCTTGTCCCTAACTTTTTAGGTATTAAAGATTAAAAGTAGAGTAAAAAGAACAAAAAGTGTGGAAAGCAGTTTATTGCCGAGCTTTGCATAAGTTCTTAAAATGTTACCTAAAGAGTGATTATTGAAAGCAGCCACAATCTTAGGACTCAAAAGTGCCTCCAGCCTGTTTTTCAGTCCCTCGAGGAGTCGGCGCCTTTGTGCATAATCAGGGACATCTTGTAACACTGTCTAAAGAAAAGAGGATTGCAATAAAATAGTAAGCTATTCATAGAACATATGGTTCATTATTCTATCTATAAAACACTGACCAACTCCTAATTTCTCCTCAGAAGACAACAAAGGAGATGGCAAGGAATGTCTGTGATTCAACTGTAAATGAAATAAATTAAAGAAAAAAAATCAATTAATTGATTTATGATTAATGTTAATAATAATATTCATACTTACTAAACTCCTGTGCATTCCTTCAAGTTTTGCAGCTATCTAAAATGATCAAGACCAACAAATAATTATTATGTGAGCAAGGTAAGTATTCTTCTCAGTAAATGCTGTTTAGTAAAATGAGGGTTAGCTGTAAGGCAGAAGTTCATTTTGTTCAGCCCCTTCAGTATCAGCTTATGATGTATATGAACACTTAAGGCTACAGTTACACAAGTTTACAGTTTATGATTTACATCTAAACTTACAGCTTTAATGTCTCCTGATTCAAACACTTTATCTACATCAGAAGAGAGAACCGTCCAGTTATCTGCTTCCTGAAATTTACACATTTTGAAGAAGACTTTAGTTCATAAGTTATTCAATAAGCGTATCATTTTAAGGGTGTATACCAGGATGGCACTAGGGGATGGGGTGGCACTGGTGAAGTAGAGAAAAAGAGCCTCCTTCTGCACTAAAAATTAGAGATATCAATGTCTCATCATTTCTAAGGGGTATAAAATGGTTCCTCGAAAAACAAGAGTCTCAGAAAATTTGGGCCTGATCTTGAAATCTCCGGAAGCGTTTGTGTTAGGTCTCGAAGTTTCGTTTCTGGGTAATTTTCCATCTCTGAGTCTCGGCTTTTTTTTAAGTCTCCGTCTTGAATTTTGAAACCCGGGTCTTGTAGTTTGACAAAGTCTCAAATTTACAACTCTGTACCCCTGTTTCTACATTGGTGGGGTACAAAGAAATACACAACCCTTCCCTTAACCATAAAGATACCCTTAACTGTACGATTTCAAACCCAACAATTGGGTTTTACGCCGCAAACACCAACATTTCTAAATTCCAATTCGATCCGGAATGCTCGAACGTTTAGTACATGAGCCCCTGGCTCGGGAGATTGGGCAACCACTCCTCACCCTAACGAGCTTAAATAAAATTGATTGAATTTTGATTGATTGATATGTACAACATACCTGTAAAGCTCTTGAAGCATCCTGCATTCTTGATTTCACTGTATCAATTTCAACTAACATCTTCATTGACTGCGCAGTATTTTCCTCAACCTGCAAAATGTTATTATTATTAATAACAGGTATCATTAATTTATGTCACAAAGAAAAATAAAAATTAATTATGGTTAAATAACTGAATGTTAAAAATATCACAAGCAAAGAAATCATCATTTTTACCACTCTGATGTCCTCTTTCACTAAAGTCATTTGTTCTTTTAAGAGAGAAGCATCATGGCGTATATTCTCAATCTCCCTCAAAACTCTATGAAGAAATTTTTTTGTAAAATATTTAAGGTAAACATCATATAATTTGTAATGTTGCAGTTCAGAACATTTATTTCAGAAATAATTTCCTTGGTTTACATAAAAAAGTAGCCTGTTCACAGACCCTCTAGTTTCTCTTTAGGGATCATTGGGTGGCATATGAAAGTAACAACTGCGTGGACAGGCTAGCAAAAAAAAAAACTAGGTAGCTGTATCTGTGTTGAAACACTTGTTTCTCCATCACCGGAGTCACTTTAATAATAAAAGTCTGTCTGTTCTTTGAATTGCTTGAATTAATATAGACGTAAGGGTATTATGGAAGATGTTAAGATGAAGGTTAGGGTTCGAATTACTGGACCTTTGAGCTTCTGCACACCTGGAAATTTAACCCTCTACATGCAGATAACTATACTATCAAAATTAACATATAATTTTGGAACAGCATATTGCATTGCTACAACCACAACAAAATGTTAATGCAATGTTTGGAATGTACCTTGGAATATTATTCACTGTTTGATTACTAGTTTCCTCCAAAGCATTGTTCACTTCCTATAAAACATAAATCAATGTTGATGATGTATATATAAATAAAATAACGGAGAAATACTGGTACTTCAAAATAGTTCATTCAAAGAACAGAGACAACTATCAGCTTATATCTTATCATTTTAAACTTGACAAAGACCAAATTAAAGTGCATTCAAAATGTTAGTTTTTTTTTAACCTGTAATTTTTCCCACAGAATCTCATGGCTAATTCAGAAGTATAAAGATCAGCTGAAAATGTATGGTACAATTTATTCAACTTTTAATCATCTAGGAGTGACTAGTATCTTAAGAATATTAGATAAATATTTATTCTTGTACGGCACCATTGAACTCATCACCAATAGATGAGCTTGGGCACTGTTGCCTACAAAGTTGGTGGAACCGGGCAATGCTCTAGCACGAGGAAGGAGGTATCCATGGCAACCCTGCTAGCAGCCCCCACCAGGCACCGTCACACTGGACTGTTCAGTGGAATACTTACTAACCAATACATACTTGACCCTGAACTGAGGGCAGGAGGGTTGGGAAAAAAACACAGCACAAAAAATGGCAAGCACGCAACAAAGCTATAGCAAAGACACTTTGTGACGAACTGCAAGTAAGCAACTGCATATACAAGTCATGAGGTGTCCCTTCTAAAGGCATCAGGCCAGCCCCAACATTGTTGGGAAAACTGCTGACCAGCATTGCTTTGAGGTTAATGTTGCCTAAATCACATTTAACCTCATGAAAGAGATAATAACTTTTAGATAATCTACATGCAAAAGCATGAAGGCATGTTCCTCTAAGGACAGACTGGGTTCTGCAGCCCTGGAAACTGGCTTGAAATTTTAACTCCTAAAAGTGCCACTTCCTTTAACAATATTATTGTTCAAAAATCTCAGTGACCAATGTATTTTCTGTAAAATATTGAAAGACCTAGGCCTGCTTATAATCCTAAAGATTACCAGTTGTTATTATTTTGTTAATTTTTCAAAGCCTGAACACCAGTTTGCTAGCTTGAAATGTTTAATCTGGATGCAAATGTTTAATCTGGATGCAACCAGCATATATACCAGCATATACCTTGAAGTTTTGATGAATTCTCCTAATTTACTGTAAATTCTAAATATGAAGGATTTGGGAGTAATCAAAGTGAAGTGCTGCTCATACCAGTAGTTTTTCTAAACAAACCTGAATAAAAAGCTGTAACTTCATGACCAAGTTAGATGCATGAGTCTGGAAAACAAATATGAAAAAGGATGGGTGATTTCAAGGCATTCATCCACGTTCAGTAATGTGTACATTAAGCAGACACCTAGCTCACTTCACAGAAAGTATGTGGAAAAAAGTTTTAGGATTCACTGAAGTCAAGTCTGCCTAACATAGTGTGTATATTAGCTTTAATTACACATTGTCATCCAAGAGGGTATATCACAGGAAAAAAAAAACGGATTCCCATTTTTGAATATTTTTGGGTATTTAAAGAATACCCATAAAAATCCCAAATTTGGCAAAGTGAGACAAGTCCCAACCAGGGAATTCCCAACCAAGTTCCCAGATTGGGACTTGTCTCACTCTACCAAATTTGGGATTTTTGTGGGTACTCTTTAAATATCCAAAAATATCCAAAAATGGGAATCTGTTATTTTTTCCTGTGTATATTTCAGAGGAAACAAGGTGCACTTTGAGTATCAATGTATTTAGCAGAAAAGTACTTTTGGGGACACTACTTTTACATCTCCTACTGGAGATGGGACCACCATTTAAAAAAGTCACTGCGGAGAAAAGGCAGTGCCTCCATTTCTCAGTTATTTTAAGACCCTGAATATTGTTCTGGCCCCGGGAAACGAACCCAAAATTAGCTCAACCAAATGAGCTAATCTTGCTGTGGTTAAAAAACAAAACAAACAAGACCCCTCTTCCCTCCTCACTCAACAAAGTTGGCTTGTTTGTCTTTTGGGGGGAGGGAAGGCTTTCTCTTCACGGAGATGCAATAATCCACTAATTTCCAACAAGCATTAAAAAAGCAAGATTGATGATAGTCTTTCCTGGTCTTTAAATATTATTTAGGAACTCTCAGACAACGACTAAATAACCACTTCCTCTTGGGTATTGTGCAATAGCTCATATGCTCTGGCTGCTAAGCCAACCAAAACTCTGACATTTAATCATACATTAATTCAGTTTTTGATACATATGTCATTCAGATGCACTGCATTTTTAAACAGTAGGGTAGCTATTAAGCTTTCGAAGTATAAATTATTACCTAATAATAAGGGGAGTATGAGTTTTTTAGAAAGCCTATTCGCGTTATTTATGTTTTATATATTTAGAAGTCTAAAGCTGTAAATTGCGGGAGATTGCAGATCTATTAATGGTCATTAATGGCGACAGCTACTGTGTACTGACACGTTGCACCTTGTCCTGTTAAATTAATTTACAGTAAATAAAACTTACATCAACTGGGGTTCGATCATCACGGATTCTCAGCGCCGAATTAACCCATTCTTTAACATCAAAATTATCGTCGGAAAACTTGGAAAAATCCATGTCATTGTCAATTGCAAAAAATAAAACAAAACAAAAACAACTTAGTTATTTGCCGCCATGTTGAATTATGGAAGTTCTCCGCTGTTCTTTGCGAACGAGGACGCCTATTGGCTCAACCCAGTCTTCGGCCGCGCGCAATTTTAAGATGGCGGTCGCTTGTAAGGTTCACGTGTGAAGGGCCGTGTGAAGGTTCATTTCGTCGGAAAGCATGTCTGTAGATGTTAGATTACCCAAGAAAAGAAAGAAAATCGAATCTTTAGTTGGATTAGAGCCGAAACACATTGTTTCTCCAGGAGATGTTATAACAGAGGATACTGGATATATGAGGTTGGGGAAACATAACCCGTCTGTCCAAAACCGTTCACAATGTTTTCACAGTTATACATTTACAGTGTATATCGTGGTAGGAAATCGAAGCAACACTGTAAGGAAAAGAGAATAATCTATTTTTATTATAACTCACTGATCTAGGGGTCATGGCACCTATGTTGATGGAGATAAATTGATAGCCTCAGTTGCTGGAGTTGTTGAGAGAGTGAACAAGCTTATCTGCGTACGACCATTTAAAACAAGGTACATATAGGTGTTTCAAAGCAGTGCTCTCAGAACATTTCTGAGGAACCTAAAAGCTCTACATCTGTGAACAGACCCTTTCCTAAAACAACAACAAAGTGTAATTTGTTTTATCATTGAGATATTGCATTCAAGTTACACCTCCAGTTGAAGGAGCCTAAAGGAAAAAAACCTTAGTGACTTTAATCAAGCTGACTACCCAATTCTATTTTTGGAAACACACCTTTAGTCTATACAAGACCACGATTTCATGTCTATTAAAAATTTTTGAAGTTGTATAATGTACCTGCAAAAAGTGACTGTTGAAGTGATGTCGTACATGTAGTTTGGATAATTTTGTGCTCTGGAATTTCCTATCGTCTCAAGGTTAGCACAATATTGAAATTTCCCATGCATCACAATTGCACGAAATGCCCTAAATAAGGTATTTTTCCCCTGACAGGTACAATGGAGAAGTAGGGGATGTTGTTGTTGGTAGAATTACAGAGGTGAGAAAAAAATTTCTTAATTTTGCATCATGTGCTACTGACCTAGTAAATAACTATTTCCTAATTTTCAACCTCCTTTTTATAACTCACCATCATGTCAACAATGTTGGGATGATAGTAAGGTTCTGTTTCATATTGCCATATATTTTACTGTTACTGGGGTTAAAAAATAGCTCATTGTACTGAGGACATCCGTTATATAGAGGTTCTTTATATCAAGGTTCCACTGTAATATACATTTTCACAAGAATCTTCCAGCATCTAAATGTGTTATTGTCTATTTCGATCCTAAATCTTATCAAAACGCCTGTCTTTACAAAACTGCACTTAGTCCTAGACTGCTGCGTTTTCAAACCAGCAAGGCTATGTGGCATTTGCAGCGATGGGGAATGGAGTCATTTTTTATGAAGGTTCTCCATTGAATCTGAAGACTACTCCACGGAACTACAGTTTCTTGAAACAAATTATTTCAGCTGATTATGTGGTCTCTGATGCATTTTAATTCTATAAAAGCCCAACTGGAAATTTTAAATTTTGATCAGTGGTTGTGATACATGTGTCGATGACATGCTATACAAAATGAAGGAGTTACAGGAACCTTAGAAGATCATGATCTGCAAACTTCTACTGGTGAATCCTGCATTTGCAATCAGGCACAGCATAAGAAAGGTCCTTTTCAGTGGCTTGAAATATATAAACGTGGCTCCGCTCAACAATGACTCGAGAAAGGTTCAGTGATCTGACAGTTATAAACAGCCACAAAACGAGAAGAGACAAATTTGATCCTCCCCCCACCCCCCACATCAACGGAGGTGGACACCGGTCCCCACACTTTAAAAAAGTCTCTGTGGACCCTGGGTTTCGCATATGACCAATCACCCCACACTGATGATGATTTCTGCTGTGGGAAACACCTGTTTTCAAGGTGACAGTGGACAAATCAATATCCAAATCATGGAGACCTCCCACTTTATGTTAGACAGGGTTTTTCAGTGAGGGTACTTGTCATACATTGTGTAGCTTTTTTGGATTATGATAATGTTATTAACAACCAGAAATAACCACTCTTTCTCATTAATAACTGGGATCCTGCCTCATTTCATTACCCTTTGCATACTTAAACAACAGATACCTGTTTTGTTCTCCAAGGTTGGACAGAAAAGATGGAAAGTGGAAACCTTTTCAAGGCTAGACTCTGTTTTGCTACTTTCCTCAGTCAACTTACCTGGTGGAGAGCTGGTAAGGAAAACGCTAAATATCTCACCTGTTCAAAGATTACATTTTTTTTCCTTTCAAGTTAGAAATTAGGGCATTTTGGAATCCTTGGGTGCTTACCGATTACGCAAACCATCTGGTTGAAAATTGAACCTTATTGGGAGAAGAATGTGCCACAAAGTATACCCAAATGCAACTGAAGAGACTAATAAAATTGCATCACTTGAAACACCAACCCATATTTTCCAAAACTTTCTGGGGTGGAATATAATGGAATGGTGCAAAGCATTTTATGTTGCAATTGAATTTTCTGGTTGGAAAGCACCCCTTCATGAGGAGCCGCATAAAGTCCCTTTACTAATTACGCTGAGTGACGGTTGCTATGCTCAATTTCCTGTTATAATTTTACCTCCGATCTCGTGCAGGCTAGCAGGGGTCAGACTGGCTGTCATCGATAGGGATTTTCACAGAGGCGATGAAACAATCCTAAATTTCGCAACTGTCTGGTAATATGGTTAAAACAGTATTAGCCGGGGTAAATATAGTCGGCGCGGGTCTATTCAACTATTCTCCAGATCGGATCATCCCAATCAAGCCATCATTGTATGGAGTATATGTGAATTCTTTTTAGGGTATCCCGGTCGAGAATTTCTGTGTTGATTCAAACTCATTTCCCTTAGAAGCTTGTTGGTATTTGAAAGAAAATTTTAACAGATCGAACAGGTTAGCAGAGTTCCAAACTGAGATGGCCAGCCTTCCTTCGTCACATTGGTTCACTTTCAGAAGCGAGGCCATTTCAGCCTTAAATCAGTAGGTTTACCTTGCGACACATTAATTCTGTGTTTTTTTTTATGACTTGCTTAATCGTAAGAAGACACCTTGAAGGTAAGGACAATGTTCGATTTTTTTCCTTTAATTTATTTATTTCTGCCTCGAATATATATCGCCTAAAACCTCCTAAATGCCCGCCAAATTTAATGTGGCGCGCTCGGGAGTGATCGTACAGTGTTTAGGAAGAAACAGGCCCAGCACAACTTCCACTGGAGGCACTTTTGTGTTACTGCAAGAAGTACCCTTATAAAGAAGTTGAAAAGCTTTTCCATTATTAATTTCGTCCTACATTTTCTGGATAAACAATGGAATGTGTTGAAAATTGTAGACACCCGTGTTTCATAATACACGTACACACTTAGCGGCCAAATTGCTACATATTTTATCTTTTTACCGCTGTTTTGCTTGTTGCCGAAGTTTAAATGCTACATCATGATCCAGTGCGATTTATTGTTGTCGTTACACGCTCAGATCTTTAATTTGTTTGAATTAATGAGAAAATTATCTTGTAGTCTGTAATTATGCGTAGTATTGCATTGTTGAATGCGTTCACTGCCTATGAAAACAATCGTTTTCCTAGTAGTATATCGGATAGGCCAACTGACTCCCACTGGTGGCAAATTGTGCTACAAAACCATAAATAAGGGATATTCGAAGTATAAACCTCACAAAAGCTTTTGATTTTGATCAACAACGAAATGAGTGACTAAAACGCGTTAAAAATAACACATGCTCGTGTTACAGAGAGGGGGTTGAGTGTTTCTCGTTATTTGTAAGTCTCTGAATCTTAGCAGCTTTCTTTTTCTTTTCTATAATTTTTACCGGGGAATCGAAAAATGAATTTTAGTTGATTGGTTGCGTCCATCGCGGTTCCCCCCTATTTGTTTTTCAAAAAAAAAAAACACCATTGCAAGAACCTGTACGGTCTCTATTATTTTTCATTAACAGCCAGAGAGCTTTAATTCACCGAAACTAAAACAGATTCATAAAATGTACATGGTTCGCGGTATTCTGTACGTGCCTTTTATGTTGGGTGTGTCGCCTGATTAAAAGCGAGCGATCGGGTGAGTCGCCTTCGCTTAGTGCAAGAAGACTTTGTAAAACGTGTATATTTAATGAATCTTTCTGTAAAGAACGAGGCGGCCTAGAAAGCTTGAAAAATAGTTTTTGAAACGTCTTGCCAAATATGTTTTTATTTTGTTTGGGGGTTGCTAAAATTGCGTTTCAACTAGACGCTGTAAAATTCGCAATTAAACTTATTCTTCGGATTCAAAACAATGACCAAAGTTCCGTCTGCACGTGCTCTTTTGGGTGAGTCGCCTGAAAAAGCAAGCGATCGGGTGTGTCGCCTTCGCTTAGTGCAAGGGAACTTGGTTTTTATTGGTTATGGCTCGCAAGTCCATTTTGAACGAAATAAATGGTTTCAGTCATAATTAATGAACATCATATAGGTGACCTTACAAGTTTGTATTATAAGAAAAATATAAGAGCCTTTTTACGCCGCGAACAGGATGAAATAGAAAACTTCACCGGCCTTTTCTCAAAAAAAGGGAATAGTCCCGCTTTAAATTCTGCTCCCCAGAAAAAGCTACAATGAAAATTAATTTATAGTTTAAATTCAATCAAATTTATTTAAATCGCTGCACTTCGTTCATTTGTGGTAAATAAATGCATATTGATTCTGAGGTATCCCCAGTTAGATAATTTGTGCAAAACTCCTCTACACCGCCACAAGTTTTCCGAGTGGTGCGCTGTTTCGGAGTGATTTTTATTTCACCAGGTTCTTTTCTTTAGTTGTGTTCGTCTCATCAGCTCAGCTTTATTATTTCTGTAGTGTCTGCTAAAATGATCCATTGAAAGATATGTCGAATAAAGCTTCAGTAGGAGGTCACGAAAGGAGATTCGCATTTCACCTCAAGTATGATTTCAAGCTGTCAACGGTCTATGCTTGGCTGAATTTAAACAATGGCTTCCTGGTCAGATGGGGGACAAATTTTCCCCCATATTTCGGTCGCTAAGGCTTGCGGCTCGCCATGCACCCTTGGCTTTCAGGAGTACACTTTTCAACAGTCTCATACAGAGGCAGTATTTATTAATTTGGTTATGCTGTACTATTGTAACAGGGTTCTGTACATTGTTATTGTTATTATGTAAGGACTACTGACTACCCATAATATTTTGTTTGGTCGGTTAGGTGGCCACCTTGGTCCATTTTTCACCTTTCAGACATTTTTGTCATTTTGGGCATGATCTTACCCTCACATGTACATGTAACTACGAAACCTATCCACATGCCTGGCCACTTGACCACAGCCCCAATGATGACCTATAAGCCAATGATGCATCTGCTGTGTCATTTTTACATTAAGTTTAGTACACAAAAGAAGGCATTGAAAACTAGGCTTCCCCTAAAAGTGCTGTTACAGTGTAAATAGCCAGTGGGCAACAACACTCCACTCTTAGACCCTGATTATATGGAGAAAACCTGTGTTGAGTAGAAGGGTCACCCTCCCCCCCCAGCCAAGTCAACCCTGACAGTTTATTATATGGAGCCAAAAATGCCTTTGATTTTCTTGTTGATTGTTTTGCCTTGGCTGAGTCAACCCAGCTGGGCAAGCCACGGGTTATGTGCAGAAAGTTGAGGGGTGACAGGATGCTGATGGGAATGTCCAAGTTAGATGTGACTGTATGCCTTTATCTGTTCTACTGATATTTTTATATCAGGGAACTTTCATTTATTGTGGCCTGTAGAGGTGGGGTGGAGGGGGTGAGGATGCTGAATGCCCTATTAGATTTGATAGAATGCGGGGGTGAGGGGAGGGTTGAAATATTTTGCAGACATGTCCACAGATTTTGCCCTCCTCCCTCCCCCAGGTTATAGTAACTGAAAGCTAACAAGCTTGTATTTATACAGTTATAGGGAGATCAGAAGACTGCACAAATTTTATGTGTTGACCTTCATTTATTTACTGCTTTTTACTCTGCTCTTTTCTCAGAGAAGACGATCTGCTGAGGATGAGTTAATGATGCGCCACTTTCTTGCAGAGGGTGATCTGATAAGTGTATCCTTTTGAAGTCTGCCAACTCTCTTTCCTGAACTAACAAATGTCGTGCTCTAAGTATAGGCATTGCACACGGACCCTCTTCCCTCCAGTTAAATCTTTTTACAATGTTGCATTGACACTATAATCTCAGCTGTTTAAACCAAATGCTTGTATTTCTTTGATTATCTACTTTGTCCCTAGTTACAGTGGAACCCCACTGGGATTCCTGTGCACACACAATAATTATTTGCTTTATACGGGAAGTTCAAGGATCATAGTGAAGAGAACAGGAACCTGTCGACATGAAAACCCAGCATCCTAGACTTTGATGCCATTTTGTGTTGCTCTGTTGTCAGTTTAATTCGGTTGTCTCCCTCCCTCTCTATTTTTACTGCTTGTCAGTGTGCTAGGTGCCTGGATGCCTTGCATGGGGGCCATGGTTGGGTCACACATGTTGCCGTCCCCGGTTCTCAAACTCCATCAAGCGAACAGACGCAGTTGTTAAATACTGAGAAGACTTTATTGAAGTGGTTGAAAAGTCAACTTTTTGTAAGTTTTCCTTGACTACGTTTAGGCAGAAGTGCAGTCAGTGTACAGTGATGGGTCACTCTCATTACATACCCGCAGTCTCAAATATGGAAAGGTTGGTTACATATCAAACTTATCGTTCTTCTTTCTAAGTTTCTACAAAGTCATACGAGGTCTAGTCTGTGAGGTGTTTCCATTCCCAACATCCAACCAACTGATAAAAAAAAAATAGAAAAGAAGATAAATTTCCTTTAATCAGTTTAAGAGTATGATGGTGCATCCCTTTCTTCTATGAGAACAGACGTGATCATACATGACTTTTTTCTTTCGTGAAAAGTTAGTGAAGTCACATCTTGGTATCGTTTTCTTTAATACACGAGTGTTTAAACAGTCACTGGAATTCCTTAAAATGTTCTAGTTTGACAATCTGAAGAGCTTGTTTGCGTGCTTAGTCGGTCCTTTTTTTCCCCAACCGACCAAGGTCTTTGACAAAATAGAAAGCAAAATTTGGAAGCGAATCACTTTGTGGACATGGTCGAAACAATGCGATGAATATGTGTTGGTTCAATTTATCCTTGGTTTAAATGTTACAAATGTAATTTCTTTTGTTACTTTTCATAAAAAATTATTATCTCGGGAACTTAAGCAACGACGACGGCGACGGCAACAAGAACGGCAAAAAACCAGTAGGTTTAGATTGACAAAGGAACAACTTTGCACGTGCATCACGCATTTTTGGTACATTTCTTTGCCGTCGTTGTACGACAACAACGTGAAAGTGCCTAATTTCATGTTTTGTCGAGGACGGGAACACTAAACGACAATTTTCTTTTTCTTTAAATCCTGAACTTTGATCAATTTTCGGAACACTTGTTGTATAATTTCCTGCTTGCATGCCTCTCCTAGAATTTTCGAACAAATAAAAAATGGTATACTTGCCCATTTTGAACTAATTTTTACCCTAAAAAGTTCACCTAGAATTTTCGGGAGCCTATTTTCTGGCTAAAATTTTCGAAAAGGTAAGTTTTGATCCCTATAATTTTCGGATCACTAGACTTTCAGCTAGGAAATCCGAAGAGATGAAAAATTTTTAGGGGATAAAAATATGCCTATATCTACCGTTTAAATACTAAAATACATTCAACAATGCTATGTTTAAGTGGTTTTGAACCATATTCTCGTTGGGTGACCCTGATAAGCACGGTACAGTGTGAGGCAGCGCGACTTCACTTTTTAAGTGACGTTTTCGTAGCAATCACCGTCGTCGTTGCTTAAGCCCGTACTATTAATTAAACCAAGGATATATTTGAACCACGACAAATTTTGATACCCTTTAGTTTTTTTGCTTTATCAACCTCACGTTTTGGCCACACCACTGAGCCGAGAAGGAATTTCTTACTCAACTGTATTTTTCTTTTTTAACAATGTGTTTCCTACAGCTTAGAGAAGGCACTCTTGTACAGGTTCCGCCATCTTTGGTCAAGCGCTGTAAAACTCACTTTCTCAATCTTCCGTGTGGAGCCACTGTGATTCTTGGAAACAATGGGTATGTTTGGATCTGTCCTTTGAATACGGAGGAAGCTATGCTCACAGATGAGCAAACTGACCGACTCACGATTGTCAATGAACCACCTAAGCAGGTATAGGATTTCATTTTAATGGCTGACAGTATCATGAGTTTCTTGTCTTGCCCTTGGTCTCGAGTTGTTTATCCAGGGAGGGCTTTTCTTATTGTCTTGTCCAAGTGGAGTCATATGCTCAAGACAAGCGAAGAGAAAAGTATCAAAAATTGAGTACCGAAAAAGAAAAGAGAGAGGACTGGGGTGAGACGGGTCAACACCCTTTCTCTCCCCAGTCCTCCCCAGTTTTCTTCCTCTTCGCTTTTCCTTTCGCGCACGCTTGCGCGCACACCGACCAATTGAGGGCCTGGAATACTAGGTTACTAGGTTACTTTGAGTATATGGTGTAGTGCCATTTATGCGACCACCCAAAAACAATGGAATCTGGTCGCACTTATAAGTTTTTCAGAGCAGAAAAATACAGACAGGATGCTCGCAAGGGGTACCAACTCCACCATTCAAACTTTTTATGCTGACTTTGAAAAAATGAGGTTGAGTGGAGTTTTTCTTGTTGTTGTAAGATTCTAGACTCTGATCGTGAGACAATTGCCAGGCTTCGTAACTGTATAGTGACGCTTACAGACAATGGAGTGATGCTGTTTAACACCTCTCTGCAGTATGCTTATGATGCCTCCATGAAGCACTCGGTAGGAAACGTTATTAACATACATTATTTTATAGTGTAGGCCTTAACACACCCTACTGTAAGCTGCTCGATTTTGGCGTCCTCTAGAAAGCCTGCGTGAATCGAGTGAGATCTTTGTTGAGCATGCTCTGCATGTTGGTAGGGTACAGTTTCGAACCTAATAGACGTGCGCTTGGTACAGCAGGCTCAGTTATGACTATTGATTTATCGATAATAGGATGCTTGCACTCGAAAAACAAGTTTGACAAGAGAAAAGAACGGCGCTTTCCATTCAACAAAATTCCGGTTTGAGATTTCGGAAATTCCTCGTGCCCATTCTAGTTGCACAGACCCGACCCAAGCCACCGCGCGTTTGGTTATTGTTTTTGTGAGCAGGATACAAAACAGCGGTATTGGGGACAACAATTTTGTCAAATGGAAAAGGACATTCCGGTCCGACCGACCGAAATGACCAGACCGGTCAACGTGGACAACGTTCAAAGCTGGTCCCGAATATTGCGGTCGAACTAAACCGAAATGGTCCGTTCCATTTGATGTACCAACCGATTTTTCCGGAATTTTGGGTTGAATGGAAAGCGCCCAAGAAGACTGACTAGTACAGACGTTAGGGCTGCGGTGACCTCAGAGAGTTGGCATCAGTTGAGAGCCTCTTTGTCTCCTGCTCGATCAACAAGGAGACAGAAGGAGGCTCTGCTTGCAGGGTGACCCTAACACTGATCAGAAATTTATTTCTCTTTTTATTATCACCACTTAATCAGTTACAAGGGTCAGGAGAATAAAGAAAATGATCGCCAAAAGGGAAAAAATTGATGCAAACGAAAGAAGGGGCTCCCCTTACTGTGCGACTACTGTAACTGGGGCCACATAGACAAAGTTGACCAATCAGATTACTGGGAAATAACAATACATTGTAAGAAAGTTGGTTGTGGGTCAATCTGCAGCTCGTAAGAAAAAAAGTTACTCCAAGCACAAAATTTTAATCTTGGTAGTTAACGTTTTTCAAGAAAAGGAAGTGTTTCACAAGACAATGTTTTTCTGTTCGAAACTTTACTATATAACACCCAGGAGACGTACTTGTTTAACGCAAGCCCCGGTTATAGTAGTCGCACTGTTATATCCTCTTTTAGTTTCAACAACAACCTTTCTCTTTTCTTACTAGGTCAAGGATTTGCTTAAGCCTGAAATTCAAGAAGAGATAGCAGATACTGTGAGGCAACGCCTTATGCAAGAAATGTAAAATACTCTTACTGGATAACTGTATCAAAGAAGTGTCGCCCCGCCCACTGGAGCTCTTTGTTCCCATTGGGTTCGAGAAAGGAAAGTGTCAAATTTAGTTTTTCTGTGTCGAGGCATAACTGAGTGACCTTTTATGACAGTATGGTACACTTTTCCTAGGGATTAAGTGGGAGTAGATGTGTCGCCCAGAAAGACGATATAGCGTTTCTGTTTATTTAAGGAACTGTTCGTGTCCAGTTTTGAAAAGTTTGGAAGCTGAAGAAACAATGTTGTGTTTGCGAGTAGCTGTAGTACAGCTTTGAGAAAACAGTGCACAATTTGTTATTATGAGCAGCTATAAACAATATTTTAGGGATAAATAAAAATTGAGTTTCCACTCTAGTTTATTATTATTTAGCTACGGAGGTAAAACAGATTGACCCTTGACATTCGCCCCCAAGAGGATTGGTCTCGTTTTTATCTCCTGCACATAATAACTTGGGCTGTATTTGGTCATTTGTATTCTCTGCACCTATTATAAAACCCTTGTATCGTTTACACAGGGAAGCGAAGATACTGAAGAGTTGTTTCCAAGTTTGGAAGAGTGTTCCAAATTAATCCCAGTTTACACTAGGGGTAGATTGGCTCTTTCTTGGAGAAATAGCGAGGCTACTCTCATAATAAACTCCTTTCGTTTCGCGTTGTTTTCAATTTTTCTCGGGACCCACGACCCTCCCAAGAGAAAACGAAAAGTAATGCTTATGCAAAGTTTGTGGGGGAAAACGGAGTGTATCCTTGGACGATGTGGAAGTGAGGAGTACTCCGATGGTCCTCTTTACTATAAATAAAACACATGGGAAACATGTCCCCCTGTCCATACCCGAGGCAGGAGCGGTTAAGTTCCAAAAGTCTTCGATGTGCAGTGCGAAGGAGAGATCGCGCGAGTCCCTGGGAACGGGTTTGCAATTTTGACTAACAGTTCACTAATAGAAAACTAATAGGACAATTGCACGATGACGTAATTTGACTCTAACTACCAGAATCTTTCTGTCTAACATATTTTTCTGCGAATGACAGCTTTTGTGTTTTTAAATCTCGACAAGATTGATGAATGTTTAATGAGAGAACCAAAAAAATGCAGTCAAATGTCGCCATCGTGGAAATGCCCTTCAGTCCCGTCACCCAAGCTCGAGAACCATTCTAAGTTGGTCCAAACCAGTTCTGAGGACCAAACTAAGTGCGATGTCTTTGATATGACAATGGTTTTTTTATTCCTATAGAAATAAAACTCATTTCACGAGTAGTATAGTTGGGACCGAATTATCTTTTTTTTTGAAGTTGCATCTCATTAGTGTGAAGCAGAATGCATTAACACCTTTGACGTCATAGCGTTTTTGTTTTTCTTTGAAAAGGTCTATTCTTTTGTTCTTGTCTGACAAAGTCAAGTCAATTTATTTAAACTCACACAGAGTAATAATTAATACAAATTAGTGCTTTAAGATATAAAATCGAGAAGTTGTGAAGGAAAAGAAATTTTCAGATGTAGGTTCCGGTGCAGAGTTTGGGACACCTAAATAGTTCGTGGATCTAAACGAATAGGCGACCCAAACAAAAATATGAGTAGAAGGAAGACAGATACAAAACATTTGTTTTAGATAAAAGTATTACTTCATTGATTAAATAGTAGTTAAAGATAATATAATTCTCAATACTATCAATCATAGTATTATAACGAATCAATAATAGTATTATAACGATCAATCATAGAATTCTTGATATATTGACAAAGCAGCTTGTGTAACATGTCACTAAACACTTTTTTCATCGTTATGGTTTCCTCTTTCTCTCTCAACACTCCACATTTCTTTACTGGCCATTTGAAAGTTTTCCCGGCCGCAACAACTCTTCGTCATCGTGCACACTGAAGGCTTCTAAAAAATCATTCGTTTCTTCAATTTTTCAACAAAATGTTGACATCTGTTCTGGCAAACTGGAGAAAATTTGGGATCGTCAAGAAAATATTTTCGGAGACGATTTTTGTAAAATTTCTTGCTTGCCTGCCTCTCCTAGGATTTTCGAACATCTAAATAATGGTATAATTGCCCATTTTTAACGGATTTTTACCCTAAAAAAGGTCACCTAGAATTTCCGGGAGCCTTTTTACTAGCTGAAATTTTCGAAAAGGTAAGTTTTGATCCCTATAATTTTCGGATCTCTAGACTTTCAGCTAGGAAATCCGAACAGATGAAAATTTTTAGGGGATAAAAATATGCCTATATCTACCGTTTAAACATAAAATCGTTTAAAATACTATGTTTTAAGTGGTTTTAATTTAACAATGTTATATTTAAATGGTTTTGAAAGTTTTCCCGGCCGCAACAACTCTTCGTCATCGTACACACTGAAGTCCAACACTTCTAAAAAAATCATTCTCGAGTTTCTTCAATTTCCCTCATCAACAAACTCTCTTATGTTGACATCCGCCTCTCTGGCAAACTGGAGAAAATATTCCTAGAGATCTCGCTGTCACAGTGATATGGGCATCTCCGCGTTTTGGGCATCCCCATACCCAAAATCCTGGTGATATGGGCATCCCCTGTAACCCTAACCATAGCCCAAAAAGCTAAGGTAATATGAGAAGGGGATGCCCGTATCACCAGAGTTTTGGATATGGGGATGCCCGAAAAGCGGGAGTATCCATATCACTGTAACATCGCCTTTGGCTTTCGTCAACAAGAGATCTGGGTACGAGATTAATGGCTTCGCTTTGCTCGCTGTGTCGCTCGCTGTCGGTTTTTCCCGCCAAAACATCGAGCCCCGTTGCCTGGTGGCCGGTTGGCTGGCCGGCGGCCCGTCAACGTTTTTGGTGTCAAGGTTCTGCACGTTTAATGTTGCAAGTACAGTTGAACTAATAACGGCCACCTCTCCACAACGGCCAATGTTTTTGGCGGACAGTCAGTGCATTGACTGTTGTTTAACCCTCTCTACAACGGCCACTTTCGTCTGTCCTAAGGTGGCCTTCGAGGAGAGGTTCAACTGTAGGTTTTCATTAAGATTCTTTCTTAAATTGTCTTGAATACCGGCTGTTGTTGTTGAAGAAAAGATTGAAAGGTAATATTTGGCAGAGAGGTAGGAGAAAATGCACGCATCTCAATCATATTAGTTCATATTATAGATGGAGTAAGATCGTCTGAAACATGAAAAGAACTGAATTTTATACCGAGGAATTCGTTATATAGAGGTTCGTTATATCGTGGTTCCACTGTAATACTGTACATTTTCATATAAAAATTATCTTTGCTGGAATAGGAATCTTCCAGCATCTAAATTTATTATTGCTCCGTTTCAATCCTATTTCCCATCCCATCCCGTCTGATGCGTAATAAGCCTCTAAACGCCTGTCTTTACAAAACTGCACTTAGTCTTAGACTTCTGCGTTTTGAAACCAGCAAGGCTATGTAGCATCTGCAACGATGCAGAATGGAGTCATTTTTTGATGAAGGTTCTCCATTGAATCTGAAGACTACTCCACAGAACTACGGTTTCTTGAAACGAATTATATCGGCTGATGATGTGTACTTAGACGCATTGTAATTCCAGTAGGGCATTTCGAGCAATGGTTGTGATATATGTTTCGATGGTCTATAACATACTAGACAAAATGAAGGAGTTACAGGAACCTGCAACGCATTTCTTAGTATCTTGGGCCACTTATTTGTTTGTCTCTTTAGGGGAGGGAGAGGAAATGACCCCTTCCTTCAGTAATCCCTGCACCCAAACAAGACACCATTTTCTCTCTGGAAATAAAGGCCAGATTTTTTGCCTTTTTGATATCTCGTATCCTCATTCTAGCCATTCTAGCTGTTTATTAAAAGCACTCATAATAATACTATTGATAATCACAAAATGACTAGTTGCGTCTCGTCGCCGTGGTAGCAAAATTTCTGGATCTCAACAACCCGGTAACAACATGGTAACGTAACGTCACACTTCTCCTACTTAGTTAAAGGCAGAAGCCATACTGAGGAAACCCTCTCAGTAGGGCTCTTTTAGTGTATAAAAAATGTTATTTCCATCTCTCTACATATTTTTGCTTTTCTTACTGGATCAACAGCGGACACTATAACCCCGTTACAAACTGAAGATTAGAATTACCTTCGGCTAAGCTACCAAGCATTTTGGTTCGACATCGTGTTTATCATGCATGACGTGGAGTCAAACAACATTTGTCTGTACTTGGTTTCCAATTGGTTGCTTTTTCCCGCCAGGGAAAATTTTCCAGTAATTTCTTAAAAAGTTGCTCAAAAGTTGCTCAAAAAACTATCAAAAGTTGCTCGAAAAAACAAAACTTTTTTTTGGTCTGATGCTAAAATATGCAAATTGTACATCAAAAGTAACATTTCTAGGCATTTTTGTGCAATTTTGCGGTGTAACCAGTGCTGCTAAATAACTTTGTCCTCAGCTAGACCCAAAAAATGTAATGAGCCAATAAATGTTGAACGACCTTCTTTACCCGAGACACTCAAGTCAGTCGAGTGTGAATCTTCTTCCACAATTTTAAATTTTCTCTAAAAACCGCTGACCTAGCAGCCCGGCTACTTTTATCTTGCGCCTATAATCTGCTCCAGGGTGGGGGATTTGGCTCCTTTTTTTACAGAAAATTCATAAATTGTCTGCTAAAACATTGTGAAATATGGAGAAAAGCCAATTTAAGAACTAAGAGCCTGTGGAAAGCCCCAGCTTGGCGATCAAATGGTTGTTCGTAGCGCAAAATGTTGGATAGTAATAGCTAGTAATGTTTGATCTGACTAGATCAAACATGCGAAACCTGTTACCATTGAAATCGTAATGAAAAGTTTAGAAAGGCGGGAAAACATCCAACATTGCACGAAAATGCTTTATTGTTTGGCCATTGTTTACAAGGCAAACCAAAATTTGAAAATCTAAATTGTTGCTTGCGTGGTTTTGTTTATTTGAGATTATGAGTGTGGACAACGAGACGTAAAAAATTCGAACATCCCAACCTTTCAGTTTTGGGCTGAATACAATATATTAATCTTACTCGAGATTTTTGTTAAGTAAGGAATAAAGCTCTTTACCACTTATCGATTAAGTAGTCCAGTTATAGCAAAGATCCCCATTTTTTAACTTCGTGAAGAAAAAGGTTCATCAAAATAATGGAAAAATATATATATGAACAGGGACTAACATTGGATTAAATATGTCTAAACCATGCCTTAATAGGCCCATAAATTGCAATTACCGGCGCATGTCAAAAAAGTGAAAAACAACAGTAACAACAATAGTAATGA